TTCCTACCTTTAGTTCTGCTTTCCTGAGCCTCTGGGGCTGGAGAGACTTAGATGGGCGAGCCCTTAGGTGGGGAGCACCAGCCTCGCAGCTGCTGGGACTCTTCACGCCGCTCCGGGCAGCACCAGCCAGGCAGGGAGGCATGTCACTGCAGCTGCTGCTGTCTCGTTTCGAGACCCCGTCAGCTGCTTGGGGCGGGTGACCCAGAGGCCGGCTCCAGCTGCCCGGGGCCCCCAGCCACCCCCACCCCAGTCATTCTGCCTCAGGATGGAGACCTGAATAAAGCGGGACCCTTTTTAAGGCAAGAGGAGGGAGATGGTTCCAGAAGAGCCAGGGCGAGAGATGTGTGGCTGGGAGGTGGGCGTGCCCAGAGCTCGGAGCGGAGCTGGCTCACCAAACAGATCCTATGCCATTACGCCATGACCCCAGACTGTCTTCCCCCTCCCCCTCGCTTCCTTGGGTGGAGATTTGATTAGTCAGGCATTGTGGCTTCTACCTAATCTGTAAACAATCCTACAAGGCCAGCCTGTGATTTCCGAGGGATATGTTTGAGATATAGGCGGAGGGGTCTTGGAGAATGCCAGGGGTTTTTTTGGCGTTTTTTTTTGTGTGTGAAAATTACATGTAAAGTGTGTAGAAGACGGCCCAGCGTATAATCAGCACCGCATGGGTGTTAGCAGTTACTGTCATCATCGTCACTGCCATTGTCCTCATCATCTGCCGGGAGAGGGGACGGGAGGAGAGCCAGAAGGGAAGGGAGGAGAGCCAGAGGGGAGGGGGGGACGGGAGGAGGACCCAGCAGTTAGGGCCACCAGCCAGCGCCGCAGTCTCTGGCTTGCCAGGGAGGAAGAGCACCTTCCCGCCCTCCCCTCCCCACCCCTGCAGCAGGGCCAGTGCCGCTGGGCTGGGGCTGCTGGGCTCAGCTCTTCTCAGGACGTGGGGCGGCCTCTCCACATGGCAGCCAGAGGCCTGCCCACTGTGTGAGCATCTTCCTGCCAAGCAGAGGTGGCAGGCGGCCCCTCGTGGAGCCCAGTGCTCAGCTACACCCCAGAACCAAGGCCATGGTTTTGGGGAACAAGGGCATGAACACAGCTCATTAGTGCCAGGGCCTGGCCAGCAAGGAGCCCCTCCGTTGGCCTCGCTCCCCCCAGGCAATGTGGCTAGCTCCGCAGGCAACTCTGCCCTGCCGCTAGCCAGCCTGGCCTCCCCACTGGCAGTCCTGTGGGTCCGCAGACAGTCCCCTCCAGGGTTGGGGGAAGGGGAGGAACAGCAGGTGGCGTGTGCCAGCAGCGCACTCCATGCAGTTCCCGGGTGCCCAGAGGCTGCCAGGCTGGCTGAGCCAGGGCCCCAGCTCCAGGGCAGAGGGGAGCCCTGGGAGCTTGAGTACTTAACCCTTTGTGGGCCGCAGCAGCCTCCTCCTCCTCCCATTGTCCCACACGTGCACTCTGGGAGCCAGCAGGCGCCCAGCCTCTGGGAGGCTGGCAGGAAGGGGCACAGCGGAGACGGACGGAGAGCAGGCCGAGGTGGGAGCTTCCCGGGCCAGCCTGGGTGTCTGCCGCCTTGAGATGGCGGGTGCGGAGTAGGCAGGTGGGGAGTAGACAGTGGCCGCAGACCGGAGGAGCAGGGAGGGAGGACGCTTGGCATACCTTGGGGCCAGGAATTGCTCCCTGACCGTCGTCCTCACCAGGATGAGCAGACCTGGGTCTGACTGCCCAGAAAACCGGGGGACCAGGGGACTGAGGGACCACAAAGGCAGGAGGCCTTGCCCTCTCTGTGCTCCAGCCCTGCTGTGTTTGGGCTGTGAGGGACGGGGCTCATCTGGATTGGGGCTTGGTCACTCCCCCCCACCCCCCACCCCCGATGTATAGCAGTAATTCTGGGCACCTCATGGGCCTCCAGGAGTTCTGGGTTGGCATCTCACAGCTCCATGCTAAGCCTGGCAGGTGGCAGCAGGACCTGCCTGTCTTTGTGGGGGAGAGACACCACTCTCTCAGAGGCTGGCTGGAAAGCCTCTTGGAAGGCAGCTATGCTCACCACTATACGACCAGACGTCCCGCTGTTGGCGGGACAGTCCCGATTACAATTTGTCCCGCGTCCCGCAGCGTTTTAAAAAAAGTCCCGATTTTTCGCTGAAACCGGTTTGGCTCAGTGGTAGAGCGTCGGTCTTCGGACTGAAAGGTCCCAGGTTCGATTCCGGTCAAGGGCATGTACATTGGTTGCGGGCACATCCCCGGTAGGGGGTGTGCGAGAGGCAGCTGGTCAATGTTTCTCTCTCTCACCGACGTTTCTAGCTCTCTATCTCTCTCCCTTCCTCTCTGTAAAAAATATATTTAAAAAATAAATAAATAAATAAAAAATAAAAAAGTCCCGATTTTTAAAACGCCGCGGGATGCGGGACAAACTGTTAAAAATTGGGACATCTGGTCACCTTACTCTCGGAGCCATGCCTTGTTTGCTGCATGAATGGAAGGTCTGTTTCGGGGCTGGGCACGAGGCCACACCTCCTCCTTCCTGTGCATGGGGTGGGCAGGGACGCGGGCCGATGCTAACGTCTACCTGTATCTGTGCGGCTGTAGCTCGAGGGCAGCGGCCCCTCCAAGAGTCCGCAGCCTCCCGCCAGCCCCGCAGCTGCAGAGACGGCCCAGAGAACCAAGAGCCCCGAGCCCTCTCCGGCCATGAACGGCCTGGGCGCCGCCTCAGCCGATGGCCCGACCGAGGAGGCCCCGGGCCTGTCTCGGAAGAAGGTGGCAAACGCAGTGAGGAAGGTGGTGAGCAAGGTGCTGCCTGGCGAGGAGCCTGGGAATGCCAAGGAGCCTCTGAGCAGAGGGGTCAAGTCCCCTGAGCACCCAGCTCGAGGCAAGAAGGGAGAAAAGGCAGCCCCCGGTCCCAAGCCGCCGCCTCCTCCCCCTCCTCCTGCTCCTCCCCCTCCCCCTGCTCCACCGAAGCCTGAAGCAAAGAAGGAGGCAGCCAAGGATGAGCTCTCCGTGGGCCTGCGCAGCCTGATGTCCCGGGGCAGGGGCAAGGACCACAAGCCCCGCAGCAGGCAGTCTCCTGGGAAGGGAGAGACGCCCCCCAGCCAGGAGCCAGGCTCCCCGGGGAAGCCCGGCTCCCCGGAGGTGGTGGACTCCCCAGCCCAGCCCGGAACCCCAGAGAAGCCGTGCTCCCCAGCCTCGCCAGAAGAGCCGGCCGACGCAGGCTCCGCTCGCCCGAAGCCGAACCTCACGGGATTGCCGCCGTGCAAGTCACCAGCCCCTGACGTGCCGCAGGAGGTACCCGAGTGTGTCACTAACCGCCCTCCCGCGCTCGCTCGAGGGCCAGGCACCCTCACCGCCGGCTTCCGAAGGCTCCCCCACAGGCTGCGCCTTTGCCGAAGGCGGGGCTGCATGGCCCTCCCGGACGGAATGCTGGAGCGGTGTGGCCTGGGCCCTGGGATGGGACCACTAACCAGCATGCCGCTGTTCTGTGGGAGGCAGGGCTGGTCCTCGGCGACGTGGGCTCAGCCTTTGACTCCGGACCCTACGCCAAGATCCGGAGTCTTAGCCGATCAGTGCTAGGCGTGAGAAGAACTGGAGTCGGGAGGCCTCTGTGCGTTCACCTCCCAGACTCTCACCCCAGAGGGGTCCCCGCCCGGTCCCTCCCCCGAGTCTTCATCTGTTGCATGGGGAGAGTGCAGGGGTTCAGTTCTTCTCTGCAGCCCTTGGGGCCAGAAGGGTTTGGGAAATGGGTGATTATTATATTTCAGAATGCCGTGCAGTGCACACAATGAGCAGCCCCTCATAGCCAAACATGTGTATTTCCGCAGCAGAACCTATAAATGTCCACGCCGCCGAGGGATAGAATGTAAACAGTCAGGACTGGCCAACAAAATAGTTGAGAAGCATCTTCTGGTTTGGGGGGGGGGGGCTTTTTGGATGTTGGGGTTGCTTTGAAGGGTTCCTGAGAAGGTGAGAGGTGACTCAGACAGTGAGTGCTCCCCGCCCAGTGCCGGGCGTGGTGGGTGCTCCATGGATAAACGGTCGTATTGACGGTAAAGCTGGTCACAGGAGTGATGAACGCCATCATTGCCATCACCACCTGCAGGCCTGGCGTCAGGATCTCGAGGAGCCCTGTGCCTGGGTGGCTGATGGGCACCGTGGGTCGGTCCCCTTTGGATCTGGGCGCTGTCCGTCCACAAAGTGCCTTCTGGGTGGGACAGGATGCTGGAGGCAGAGAGGATGGGCTTGGGGACAGTTCTCTTTAAGCCTTCCCCGTGTTTATAGACCCTCTGAGGCCTCGTGAGGGGTGTGTGTGGGCGGGGGTGGGGTTTCACCCCTGCTTCCCCTTGCTCTTGCATGCTCCTGGCTGGAAGGGGCGGGCAGGGCACAGCCTGCAGGCCTGGCCTGTCTCCAGCCCCTGGGATGCCTGAGGCCCCAGGACCGGTCTCACGCCTCTCCCATTCTTCTCAGGGCTCTCAGAACCCAGAGAGGAGCAGGCCGCGGCTCTCCCCAGCCCTCCCGCTCACTCTGCGCCAGGAAGGCGACCTCCTAGTTACGCAGGCGCTGGCAGGGGCATTTTGGCTGGATGGGCAGGGCACGAGGTGACCAGCCATCCCTGGGACAACCACCCAGGAGCCGGGAGCATCGTGTGCTTGTTCCTGGGCTGCCGCCGCCCTCCCTCTGGCTCCCTGTCCCCCGCCTCTCAGCAGAGCGGAGTTGGGATCAGAGATGAGCTCTGCTTGGCCTGCAGCCGCTGCGGCTGGTGGCGGAGGCCGGGGGTGCGTGCAGGGCAGGGCCGCCCCGGTGCCGACGTGGTTAAGACGATGAGAAGAAATAGCCTCAGAGCTCTCAGGCACCTGATGTTTCTTTCCTGTCTGGTCGTTTAAAACTTCGGACCGGTGCCCGGCGTGCCTTCGTGACCCTACTCCGCTTACCCACCGGGTGCTCGTGGCTTCCCGGGCTAGCAGCGTGGCATGCGGTGCCCCCACCACTCCCGGGGCCGGGACTAACGCTGGTTTAACCTCCAGGCAGGAGCTGCCCCCGAGGTCCGGCTGAGCCCCGCGGAGGAGGCCCACCTGCGGCTGGAGAGGATCTTCACCGCCTCTGTAATGCCACCTCCCGCGTGCGGCCCCGGCCCCTCTCCCTGAGGCTGGCGGCCAGCGTGTGCGTGTGCGTGTGCGTGTGCGTGTGCGTGTGCGTGTGCGTGTGTGTGTCTGTGTCTGTGTGTGTGTCTGTGTGTGCGTGTGTGTGTCTGTGTCTCTGTGTGCGTGTGTGTGTGTGTGTGTCTGTGTCTGTGTGTGTGTGTCTCTGTGTGTGTATGTCTGTGTGTGTGTGTGTCTGTGTCTGTGTGTGTGTGTGTGTCTGTGTCTGTGTGTGCGTGTGTGTCTGTGTGTGTGTGTGTGTGTGTGTGTGTCTGTGTCTGTGTGTGTGTGTGTGTCTGTGTCTCTGTGTGCGTGTGTGTCTGTGTGTGTGTGTGTCTGTGTGTGTGTGTCTGTGTGTGCGTGTGTCTCTGTGTGTGTATGTCTGTGTGTGTGTGTGTCTGTGTCTGTGTGTGTGTGTGTGTCTGTGTCTGTGTGTGTGTCTGTGTCTGTGTGTGTGTGTCTGTGTGTGCGTGTGTGTGTGTGTGTGTCTGTGTCTGTGTGTGTGTGTCTGTGTGTGCGTGTGTGTGTCTGTGTCTCTGTGTGCGTGTGTGTGTGTGTGTGTGTCTGTGTCTGTGTGTGTGTGTGTGTCTGTGTCTCTGTGTGCGTGTGTGTCTGTGTGTGTGTGTGTCTGTGTCTGTGTGTCTGTGTGTGTGTGTGTGTGTGTCTGTGTCTCTGTGTGCGTGTGTGTCTGTGTCTGTGTGTGTGTGTGTCTGTGTCTCTGTGTGTGTGTGTGTGTGTCTGTGTCTCTGTGTGCGTGTGTGTCTGTGTCTGTGTGTGTGTGTGTCTGTGTCTCTGTGTGTGTGTGTGTGTGTGTGTGTCTGTGTCTGTGTGTGAGGGAGCACCTGCCTATGGAAGGGTGCTCCCTGGGTTCTGGGGGCCTCACGTGGGCTCCCCACTTCAAGAACGGAGACACGGGCTCTGGGGTGGGTGTGAGCACAGTGACACTGCTCCTGCCAGGAGCCTAGCGCCTGTGGGAGCGGCCCCTCTTGGCCGGGGGTCCCCCCCCTTTCCTGGCCCTCTTCTCTTGCTGTGAGGACGTGTCTTGGTGCCAAAGTCTGGTGGGCGTCGAGTTGGCAGCTGACACTCCCCTTTTTTGATGCCCTGGCTCTCCGGACCCAGGGGGCCTGTTAACTCCTTGTCTGTTTCTAAGAGGCAGGTCCAAGGCCTGGCCGACTCCCCTTCCTGCCCAGAAAGGCCTGTAAGTGACCAACTAGAGGCAGGGAGGTCAAGGAGCCGTAGGCTCAGGCAGTGGGCGTGTGGACCGGACAGGGTGATGCCGCCATGTGCCGTGGGCAGTGTGCCCGCCTGGGAGTGGCGTGGCGGTCCTGGGCTTGGGGCTATGGTGGTCTTGGTGTCTGAGAAGGGCAGTGATGACAGTTCTGAAGGGAATGGTGTGTATGGAGGCCAGGGCCAGCCCTGTCCTGGCATCTGAGGGCTGCTGGGGAGCTGGGCTGGGAAATGCCCTCTACATAAGGCAAGGGGCTTCCAGGGGAACAAGGCCCTGGATATGGTGAGGAGGCCTGGCCTGGCAACACCCAGAAGAGGAGCCTAACTCAGAATGGACTAGATGGCCAGCCTGGGAGAGACTGTCCTGTCCTGGGCTCAGTCCACCTGCCCAGGCCAGCAACCCCCTCCTGGTGCTGAGCAAATTCCCACGCATACCCCACACCGGGCAGCCTGGTGTGCCCGCCTACTTGGCCCTGGGTGCTTGCTGAAGGGGAGTGTCGATGGTCTGCTTGTCTTCACCCCTCTTCTTCTCTCTTCTTTGCTGCTGCTGGTAGCTGGACCCCGAGGCCGCCTCTCCTGCCCACAGCCAGGTAGGGTGTTCCTGTCCCCCCCAGGAGCCCTCCACTTCCTCCGGCGACCACCTGCCACCCCCGGCCTGTACCTGGGCCGGCGTCTGTGCTCGGGCCTCCTGCTGGAGCGTAAGGCCTCCTTCCCCTTCCGGTCTCCACCTGTGGTCTGGCGGGATCCTCCCGGGAGGCAGCGCTCAGAGTTGGAGATGGGGCAGCTCGGGGCCAGGCCCTTCGGGGAGAGTCTGGATTGAGTGTCACCACTTGAGTTTGGCTTCTGTGGTCCATGGTCCTTAGCCAGGGGAGACCCAGGGTTTTGGTTTCTGGGTGTTTCAGTTCTGCTCACTCTGGGTAGCTGAAAAGGCTCAATCCCTACCCACACCCGCCACCTCTACCCCTCCAGTCCCCATCCCAAGCCTGAAGATGCAGCGTTCTCTGTCTCCACCTGCTGGGCAATGTGGGAAACACACCTCCGAATTAGCTCTAAAGGAGTTACCGGTAGTTATGGGTCATGGCCCTATGACGTCACCTCCTACATGGGTCTTCAAACACTGGGCCCGCAGAACGTGCCCATTCAAGACAAAGGTTCTGCCTGTCTCACGTGATTTTAAAAAGACAACACGTACAACATAATTTTGTTTTATATAAAGCTACATTTCTTCAGATATAACAAACTAACCATTTTTTTTAATGTCTTCCCTTCTTTGAAGCTATAGGTACCCCATAGCGACCCTCCTCACTGAAGGGTAGTTTCACTGCCATGATGGCTGCAGTCTGGGGACCACTCACTGGGGTAGCCCCGCCTTCTCCCTCCGTAGCTGGGAAGGGCAGTGAGCGAGGGAGAGCGTTCTCGGAGGCCGGAATCCAACCGGGGAGCAGAACCCAGATCTCTGTCAGCTCTAGGAAACGTGGCAGAGAGAATGCTTCCTCTCGTTATGTCTTCCTTCCTTCCTTCCCCTCCCCAGGGCTCAGTGTCACAGAGCAGTCAGTGGGTGTGCCCCGGGTCTCAGGAGGGGGGCGGATGCGAGCAGGCGAACTGTACCTCAGAGCTGAGGGTCCTCAGAGAGCGGGGTGCAGCCTAAAGGCTGCTTCATGCCACGGGGGTGACCATCCCCCCAGCAGGGCCCTGGATGACCTGTTGCCCCTTTGCCCACACACAACGAAAAGAGGCCGATGGGTCTGCCTCCTGTTTGCCAAGCTCCCCCGGGGCACCATTCCTGCCCAGCCCAAGCTTGGCAGCTTCACACCATGCAGATGCTTCTTTCTGATTGGTGACCACGTGGGGCCTCCAGGGGCTCCCAGCCCCTCTATACCCATTCTGGTGTCCATCTGTGTGGCATGCAAGTGTCTTCCCATCTCTGGTCATGCCTTGGATGGCCTTAGCATGTCCAGGTCATGGGACGGAGTGTATGACCTAGGTCTGTGTACCCACTGCCTTCTGAGGAGGCATGGAGAAGGAGCAGGGAGGCTGGCGTGGGCATCTGGGCATCGCCCCTGCCCAGAGGAGCATCCTCTGGAGGGGAAGGCCAGGCCCAGGCTGAAACGCGGGCCCTGCTTCCCATTCTGCACTGTGAGGTCCTCAGGGGACGCCCCTCCCCGGGTCCTGATGAGGAAATGCCCTTCCCCGGCTTGGAAAGGGGGGGCCCATTGGGATGAGGGAGATGCTGGGCCTGAGCGGTCACAGCAGCGGTGGCCCAGGGAGGGCTGGGGGCTTGGGGGACTCATCCCCCAGGCTGCCCAGGGAGGCGGGGGAGGGGCAGCTGCGGGTAGAACCTGCTGATTTGTTTTCCAGGGATCGCTCTCTCCTGGACCCGTGCTCCCTGTGCCACGGGCTCGGGGACACTAGCTCAGTGTCCTCGTCCTCCAGGCTCCCCAGGACCGCCCTCCCTCCTGGCCCTCCCGCCTTCTCCCTCTGGCACCGCTGCTGTCCCTGTTCTGTGTCTGCCAACCAGCTGCCCCCCTCGCCCAGCGGCTCCTCTGGAAGCCCTTCTCCCCCTCCAGGATCTCCTCTCTCCCATGGTCCCTGCCCATTTCCCAGCGCAGAGTCTGACTGTGTGTCTTTCCCCTCCCTCCGACAGGTGAAGACAGAGGAGCAGATTGCCGCGGAGGAGGCCTGGCATGAGACAGAGAAGGTGTGGCTGGTCCATAAGGACGGCTTCTCCCTGGGTGAGCCTGGGGCCGCCCAGGGGCAGACGCCCGGGCCTCTGGGGTCTCAGGGCCTCGGGGGTGCTTTCTGCATCTGGGAAGGGCTGGGCGGTGAGCAAGGAGAGGCCGGTGATACAGTGGGGGAGGAGGCAGGACCATCAAGAGCCCCAAGAGGGCAGCAGAGCCCTCCCGGGCCCACGCCTGACTGTCCCGCCGCTCTGCAGCCAGCCAGCTCAAATCCCAGGAGCTCAGCCTGCCCGAGGGGAAGGTGCGCGTGAAGCTGGACCACGATGGCGCCATCCTGGACGTGGACGAGGACGACGTGGAGAAGGTGGGCAGGAGGCCGGTGGAGGGCGCGGGCGGGCGGGCGGGCGGGCGGCAGGCTGAGCGGGGCGGGCCTGCCCGCCGGCAGTGCAGGCGGCTTCGGCTCCTTCAGCGCCCTCCCGCCCGCCCGTCCCCTCGCACAGGCCAACGCCCCGTCCTGCGACCGCCTGGAAGACCTGGCCTCGCTGGTGTACCTCAACGAGTCCAGCGTGGTGCACACCCTGCGCCAGCGCTACGGCGCCGGCCTGCTGCACACGTACGCCGGCCCCAGCCTGCTGGTCCTCAGCCCCCGCGGGGCCCCCGCGCTGTACTCCGAGAAGGTGGGGCGCCCCTGCACCCCTGTGCTGCCTCCTGGACCCAACCATCCCCCTACCCCGCCTTCCCTGGCTCTGCCCCTGCCCCTCGGCATCCCCCGGGCTCCTGTCCGCTCTGGCAGCTGACCTTGGGAAGAGGTGTCATGTCCAGGGCGGGAGGACAGAAAGCCCCCTCCCTCTCCCGCCCTCCCCCCCGCAGCCTCCGACAGTGGCGAGGATCTGCCTGGCCTTAGCCTCGGAATCCCTCTGCCGCCCTGGACCGCAAGGCCCAGAAAGACGTGGACCCTGGGGGCGAGGGGCATCTGAGGGGACCAGCTAAGGGCCTACCCGTCCTCCCCTCCCCTCCCCCGCCCAAGGTGATGCACATGTTCAAGGGGTGTCGGCGGGAGGACATGGCGCCCCACATCTACGCCGTGGCCCAGACGGCGTACCGGGCGATGCTGATGAGCCGCCAGGACCAGTCCATCGTCCTCCTGGGCAGCAGCGGCAGCGGCAAGACCACCAGCTGCCAGCACCTGGTGCAGTACCTGGCCACCATCGCGGGCACCGGCGGGAACAAGGTGTTTTCTGGTGAGGGCCTGGGCCTGGGCCTGGGGAGCGGCCGGGGGTGGAGGCCCCGGCTTTCCTGACTGACGGCCCTGAGCCTCTCCTCTCCAGCAGACAAGTGGCAGGCCCTGTACACCCTGCTGGAGGCCTTCGGCAACAGCCCCACCGTCATGAACGGCAACGCCACCCGCTTCTCCCAGATCCTCTCCCTGGACTTCGACCAAGCTGGCCAGGTGGCCTCGGCCTCCATTCAGGTGCGGGGGCGCTCAGGGCGGCGGGAGACCGGCCGCCTGGTGTCTCGCCCTAGAAACCAGGCTCTCTCCTGTGTCCCCTTTTCCTGGGACTCGACCCCAACAAAACGGACCCCGGCCCTGGGGCTGGCCGGCTCTGCCCAACCCTTCCCCAGGCTGTTTGCTGTGCCCGCTGCCCTGGCTGGGGCCCAGCTCGGCTTCCTGCCCAGGCCCCGCCCCATGCTCAGGGGCTTCTCTCAGTGGGGTTTCACCCGGGGAAGACTGGCCTGTCCGTAAAGGAAGGCCCAGCCAGAGCCGACTCCTTTCCTTGCAAAACGGAATCTCTGCCCACCAAGTGTCCAGCTTCCCATGAAGGCTGAGCCGAGGAAGTAGGCAGAGGGGCATGTCCTCCGTGAGCTGGGCCTGTCTCCGTGTCTTACCCCCCCACACCACACACACACACACACACACACACACACACTCTGGTTAAGCCCCCGGAGGTTAACCAGCAGCCGCCTGTTCCCTGGGCCCAGTCCTTCCGGCCTGGGCGGGAGAAGCTTTTCCGGGCCCGTCCCTCCTTTGCCCACACCCTCCCCGCTGCCCACAGACGATGCTCCTGGAGAAGCTGCGTGTGGCTCGGCGCCCGGCCGGCGAGGCCACGTTCAATGTCTTCTACTACCTGCTGGCCTGTGGGGATGGCACCCTCAGGTGAGGGGACAGAGGGAGCGGGGAGGGAGGGAGCTTTGGGCTCCAGCCCCCTGGGAGTTCCGAGACCTTGCCGCTCCATGGCCTCCGTGCCCTTTGCTTATCGCCAGGCCCTGAGGGTGACGAGATGGATGAGCCAAGGCCCTGCCCGGCAGGAGCTCCCTTTTCCCGGGCACAGGGGGTCTGGCTATGTGTGAGGGGCACAGTGAACCAACCCCGCAGAGTTCCCTGTGCTTAGCTAGGATCTCTGCTGAGCCAGACCTAGAGAGAAAGCACCCTGACATACAGGAACCTGCCGGCGGTCACACAGCGATAGGGGGCTGAGCTGGTCCACACAGGCGCCCAAACCTAACCCCTTTCCAGGGCCCTCCCTCGAAGCTGGCCCTCCTGCCCCCAGGTTGGCCCCTCTGCCAGGCTCTTCCCGTGAGGCCTTCAGACTCGCTGTCAGTGTTCGTGGAGGAGAGGATGAATGATGAGGCTGAGCGCACAGCCTTTGGGCATTTCCTCTCCAGCTCTTCTTGCAACCGAGGGCTCAGGGTCCGTCCTGCGGGACTCGCCCTTCAGGCAGGTGTCCTGCCTCCTCCCAGGGGTCTGGCTGGACACTCGGCACCACAGCATCTCTGGTGACCGGTCCGGGGAGACCGGCCCCCTGGCCAGGCATCCAGCCAATTAGGGAAGGCAGTAGCCGCTGGCCTGACAGGAGGGCATGATGGGCCGACAGAACGGAGTCTGGAAGGCGAGTCTGTCTGTCTCCACACGGGGAGGGAGACGGCCTGGCCCGGGGACCGGGCCCCATGCCGATGCCTGGTTTGTGCCCCTAGGACAGAGCTCCACTTGAACCACTTGTCGGAGAACAACGTGTTCGGGATTGTGCCCCTGGCCAAGGTGAGGGGGCCAGTGGGGACTGGGTTGGCAGCTCTGGGCCTTGGGGGTAAAAAGAAGCCTCCAATGCCCAGCCGGTGTGGCTCAGCAGGTTGGAGTGTTGTCCCTTACACCGAAAGGTTCCTGGTTCAGTTCCCGGTCAGGGCGTGTATGGGAAGGCGACCAGTCGATGTTCCTCTCTCTCTCTCTCTTCCCCTCTCAAAAATCAATTAGCATGTCCTGGGGTGAGGATAAAAGACAGGAAGAAGCAGGAGCCCGGCTCCAGGTGGCCCTCCCCTAGCCTGGCCCTCCCTGAGGGCATGGGGTCTGCTGCGGGGGGAGGGGGCAGGCAGCCCCTCTGAGATCCGGTGCCAGCGTGCCCCTCTGTCCCCGCAGCCGGAGGAGAAGCAGAAGGCGGCCCAGCAGTTCAGTAAGCTGCAGGCGGCCATGAAGGTGCTGGGTGTCTCTCCGGACGAGCAGAAAGCCTGCTGGCTCATCCTGGCCGCCATCTACCACCTGGGGGCCGCGGGGGCCACCAAAGGTAACCTGCCGCGGCCCCCCCCCCCCCCCGTCCGGCCTGTCGCCCAAGAGACCTTTGGGGGACCTTCCCTCGCCCAGTTTGTCCTTGCCCAGCCCAGCCTCCTCTGTTGTCAGACACCCCTCTTTCGCTGTGCCTCTTCCAGCCCCCCACATCGGAGCAGAAGGCTCCTGACACCCGGAGAAGCGTCTCTGCCAGTGATGGCCAGAGGCCCGAATTTGGGTGGCAGTGCGGGGAGCGCTGTGAAAGCGGGGGTCCGGGGGCTGAGAGGCTGAGGGGGAAGAGAAGGGCCCTGCCAGACTCAGAGCAGCCCCCTGGAATAACTCTCCTTCTTGTTCCCTTTCTGACAGAGGCCCCTGAGGAACAAGAGGGTAACTGACCTTGGCCCCTCCCTGGGGTGTCGGGCCCCCTGGCCCCCTCTTGGTGCTTGCCCTGGGCTCTCTCTGGGGGCTGGGCTTGTTCTGTTGTAATGAGGGGACTGGCCTGGGAGAAACCTCTGGGTTGAGGCGGCGAGGGCGCCTGCTGGCTGTGGGCTTCTAAGAGCCCCCCTCCCCCCCCCCAAAATACCTGCTTCTATCTGTTTTGCATCCAGATCCTAGAAGCTCTCATGATGCCCCCTTGGGGCGCAGGTGGGGTAGCGTGGGCCTGCTTCCTGGGGTTTCCCAAGGCCAGTTGTCCCCCAGTCTACCCTTCTCCCCACTGGTTTGGTAGCCGGTTTCTTCCTCTTGCATGTCAGGGTGAAGGCCACTAGGGGGCAGCAAGCACCACGGTAACAAATGGGCTGCATTTTTCCGGACTTGTGCTTGGGGGCTTGTGAATGGCTAGAGCTCGGCCTGGCTTGGAAACTCTGCTGCCTTCCTCTGAGGTTACACTGATGGGCGGCACGCTGAGACCTCGTCACCTCTCTCTCCTCCAGTTCAGGGGGAGGGGAGCCTCCGACCAGCACCTGGGGCTTTGGCTTCACCTTCCTGGGGGGTGTGAGGGGCTGCAGGCCGCTCAGCAGGAGCGGGAAGCACCGGTGGGAGGGAGGTGTTAGACTCCTTGTGATCCCAGCAGGTGGCATCTCCACCAAAAGGGAAGCAGGCTTGTCCTAAAGAAGTTGTCCTCCAAACTGTAGGCGGCCAGGCGGGTGGCTGGCTGGCTGTGCCTTTAAGGAAGTTCCTTCATTCTGAGGAGGTGACAAACCCAGGTTTCCTATAACCAGCCCTACTCAGTGCTCACTGCAGGCGGAGAGTTCTGGGTGTGTAGCACATGGACCTGCCTTGTGAGCAGGGTCTGTTACCTCCTCAGAGCTTCCAGGGGGATTGGAGGCTGAGGGGGAAAAGGTGTGTGTGTGTGTGTGTGTGTGTGTGTGTGTGTGTGCGCGCGCGTGAGAGAGAGAGAGAGAGAGAGAGAGAGAGAGAGAGGGGGGGGGGGGGAGGGATTGTCTTCGGAGGTCCTTGTGTATGTGTGTCAGTGCGATTACATACTCCTTTGAGATCGTGAGTGCGCGCGTTTGTGTTCCCGAACGTGGTTGTGTTTTCCTGCCTGCTCATCCTCACAAAGCCCGCCCTCCACCATCCCTCCCCGTGGGCCTGGCGGGCTCAGTTGATGACTGTTTGCTAACATGCTGTTTTTCTTTGCATGCTGCATGCTGGTCCTTTGCCTTACAGAAGCTGCTGAAGGTAAAACCTTGTTCCTTGTTAGCGTTCCCTAATTGCCGTGATTAGACACAGATTGGCTGAGGCACTTCTGTCTGCGTGGGCTGCTTTTTTTCCTCTGAGGCTGCCTCCTAGTCCCACTGCTGGGCCCCGGGTGGGTGTCCGTGGTCTTCCCTGGCAGATGCCTGGAGGTAAGAGGGAGGGTCCTGATGTGTTCAGGGAAGGGAAAGCACGGTGCTCCCTCATGACCTGTCCTCCGAGGCACAGGTGGATCTCAGTGCTCATCATAGGTGGGCAGGCTCATCCACTGACTGCATTTCCCCAGGAGCCAAGCCCTAAATGGATGTTGGAAGCTGACAGGGTGCCCTCTGGTGTCTGCAGAGTGTATTACCTCCTCTTTTAGGACTTGCTCATTCTCTCCATCCCCCAGGGACAAGGGAAGCTGGCGGTTGCTGGCTGTCCTTGTCTTGCCTGAAGCCCTCTGGTGTCCTCTGGGCTGGATTTGCCTCTGGAAGATGCCTACTCCCCAGTCCCATGGGAACAGGGAGCCAGAGGGCATCGAGTGGCCCCAGGAGGAAGACCCGAGACACCAGATGGTTCTTTCTACCCCGTAGGTGGGCGCAAGCAGTTTGCCCGCCACGAGTGGGCCCAGAAGGCCGCGTACCTGCTGGGCTGCAGCCTGGAGGAGCTCTCCTCATCCATCTTCAAGCACCAGCACAAGGGGAGCACCCTGCAGCGCTCCACCTCCTTCCGCCAGGGCCCCGAGGAGAGCGGCCTGGGAGACGGGACAGGTACTGAGCCCCTGGGCTGGTGAACGTCACCGGGAGGCTCCATCCAGGGCTCGCTGCTCTCTCTGCCGCGGGGAGACTGCTGGGGTGACAGAACTTCCATCAGCCGGAGAGGAAGCCCCAAGACCCCTGCTGACGTGGCCCTGGGTAGGGAGGGAGCGTACGAGGGTGGGGACGGGAATCCCAGGGAGCAGGAGACACAGCTGATGCTCTTGCCCCGCAGGCCCCAAACTGAGTGCGCTGGAGTGCTTAGAGGGCATGGCGTCCGGCCTCTACAGCGAGCTCTTCACCCTGCTTGTCTCTCTGGTGAACCGGTGAGTGCCAAGCAGGAGGGCCCAGGAGCTCACGGGCCTCCTGCCTTGACCAAGGTGGGGTAGAAGGCTCCGTGCCGTGAGATGGCCCAGGCAGTGCCATCTTCCACCAGCAGAGGGCCCCGTGTCCTCATAGGCCGCGGGAGGCACACCCTCCCCAGCAGGGTCTCGGGCACGCGCACAGGGATGGATGGATGGGAGCTTGCTCGGGGCAGGGCTGGGCTGCCAGTGGGGCTTGTTCAGTGGCACTGCCCTAGCCAGCTCTGACCCAGCCTCTCCCCGTGAAGGGCTCTCAAGTCCAGCCAGCACTCGCTCTGCTCTATGATGATTGTGGATACTCCGGGCTTCCAGAACCCCGAGCAGGGCGGGGCGGTCCGCGGGGCCTCCTTCGAGGAGCTGTGCCACAACTACGCCCAGGACCGGCTGCAGAAGCTCTTCCACGAGCGCACCTTTGTGCAGGAGCTGGAGCGATACAAGGAGGTAGCACTTGACCTTGGCGCTGCCTACCCCCTGCCCCCAAGCCTCCCCCTCTGGCCTTGGCCCCTCAGGGAGGGCAGCAGTGGGTGAGGGGACGAACCACCTTCCCCGCTGGCTGCCCCTTCCCAGCTTTTACGCTCTTGTAATGTCTGTCCACCTGTGCTCTCTGGCCCAGGCCTCTCTTCCTGCCCAAGCTACGTTGCATGGGGTGTTAGAAATTAGTGGAGTTTGCTCCCCAAGAACTAAAGCTGGGTTCAGGGTCCCGGGAGCCCTTTCTTGCCCTCCTTTAAGGTGCCACCTAAGCCACTGTGTGTTGGGCCTGGCCTACCCCTGTCTCCTGACCTGTTAAAATGGTGGCTGATCATTGGGGCTCCTTCACGAAAGGGTGTCCTGGATGAGGCGAGATCTAGAAATCCTACCACAGGTCTGGAGGTGAGGGGTATTGATCCTGGGGAAGATATTTATTGGGGGTCAGAGAAGATTCAGGAGGAAAAGGACAGTTGTCTTCAAGTGTAAGGCTGAGTGTGAAACTGAAAGGCTTATTCCTCAACGTCTACTCAGCAGATGTAACTAACAGAAGTGGGTGGCTTTAGCTCAGCGAGAAAGGAGGGTAGAAGGGTCTTAGTTGTCCCTGGCACAGGGTGCCTTGGGAGGCAGTGAGCACTGTCACTCGGGCTGCTAGAGGGCGCTCCCGCGTGGGACAGGAGGTCAGGTTTGCTGACCTCGCCTGCTCGCAGAGCCGCGCCCGCACACGGCCCTGGGCTTACCACGCTCCGCCTTCCTTCCCAGGAGAACATCGAGCTGGCGTCTGACGACCCGGAGCCGGCCACGGACGATGCTGTGTCTGCCGTGGACCAGGCCTCCCATCAGTCCCTGGTAGGAATTCCAGCGAGGCCCTGGGCCGGTCTTCTCTCTCCTTTCCCATTCCTCTTCCTCCGGGGGACCCTCCCTGTAGGAACTGGTGCCAGTGTGCCCCTGGCTGCTGAGGGGAGGGCCAGCAATCAGGCCCGGACACCAAGCACTTTAGAGCGGTGGTCCCTGCCCCTCCCTCACCCCTCAGCCGGTTTAGCCAGGAAGGTAGCACTTCCTTCTGCCCTGGCGTCATGGGGAGCCTGAGCCAGACAGGAAGACGTGCCTCCTCTCTTACCAGCAGGGCTGAGGCCCTGTCCTGTGACTGGCTGAGCCTCAGATCCTCCCAGGTGGCGAAGGCCTGGCTGGACTCAGAGGACATAGTCATTCTCTCCCCTTGTCCCCACGAAGAAGACTGATGTGCCTGGCAGCGTGGGGTGAAGAGGCAGCATTGCGCCCGAACAGGGAAATAGCGCCCAGCTGTAGATGCCCACTGAGGGCCACGTGGATAGGGGCTCTGTCACCCTTAGGAGCCGTGTCTTGGACGCCTTATTGCCTGTGCACTGGCTGGCCTGAAGAGCGCTTGGCATTTGGTGATGACCTTCAATTAGCGAAGCCACCTAAGGCGTTTTACTGGAGAACCGACGTTTTTGCGAGGCTTGCTGATCTCCCCGCTCCTTCGAGTCCTGTCTCCCTCTCCTTCTTCCTTGTGGGAAGGCCCCGTTGCCTAGCAAGCGAGTGGAGCTCAGAGAGAGTGAATGTCCCCCCAGGATAAATGATAAAGTATCCAAGATTCACATCTCCCCAGGGAAGCTGGTGTTTCCCGGGCACCTGGGCTCGGGGTGGCCTCCCTCCGGTACCTTTGCCATTCCCGCGAGTATGAGGAAGTCAGTCTGTGTGGCTTCGGAGCGGCAGTGGGTCAGACAGTGTATCTGGGTGGCGGTTGGCCATTCTTTCCCTTCTTTGCTCTTCCCATCTGATGGGCCTTGGCATCGGGCAGTTGCACCCCTGGGGAGGAGGGCCCCTCAGTGCCCAGCCTGCCACTCACCATGTGATGATGTCATTGCTTGTTCTTGCTGGCAGCTCTAGCCACTCTGGGGCCGTAGTTGCTCTTCAGTCCTGGGTCACCTCCTGGCAATCACGCTGGCTCCTTGGGCAGCTTCGGGGAGGAGAGGGAGGCAGCTGGGGTCAAAGAGGGAAACGGCATCTCTCTTCGTTCTCTTGTCCCCCAGGCCCTCCAGGCCAGGCCAGCATGGGTGTGGGGAAAGCTCAGTCCTTCTTGCTTGAGGAAGGCTTGGAAATTCCATTGGAAAGGTACCCTCAGACCGGAGGTGGCCACAGACGGAGTTTGTTTGGCTCCCATGGGGTGTTGGAAATCAGACTTCGGTCTTTCCACCTTCCCTGGAAAAACGGGAGGATTGGCCAATACGAGGCCAGCGTTCTTGCAGGACAGCGGTTGGCTGCCGCTGGGTGGTGGCCGTTCCCTTTAGATGGGGACACTGGGCTCCAGTCAGCCTCCATCTGCCCACGTGGGCCTTCCCGTTCATGAAGTCACTTGTCTTACGCTTTTCACACTTGCGTTTATGACTCTGCAGTGGCCCCCCCTGCAGCGCCCTGGGTGCTCCCCGCTCAGGGTAGCCCCACAGCTGCCACTACGGACAGCTTCCTGTAGGCCACGTGCTGCGCTCAGAGCCTCGCGGGCTGCGAGGCGACACCCAGGGAGGGACTGCAGCGGGAGGCCCTCGCGGACCCCACGTGGCCTGCGAGAGGATGAGGGTGGACGAGAGCCTCTGGCTGTGAGTGTGGCTTAGTGAGAAGCCTTCCGTCTTTGGCGACGTTGGCCACGAGTCCTCGGAGTCCTATTTTGCCATGGGCTTCTCTCTCTGGTCTCTGTCTGGCCTCCTCCTTCTCCTCACTGCCCACCTGCTCCACAAGGTGTCAGCAGTGAGGGGCGGGAGCCGCTATGTGTGCGTGTAGGTGTGTACCCGTGCAGCATGAGGATAGCGTGTGGGCAGGGACCGGGCACTGGCTCCTCTCCCACAGCTCCGTGTGACGGTGGGATTTCTCCGCTTCCCCGTAGGTCCGCTCCTTGGCCGGCACAGACGAGGCCAGGGGCCTGCTGTGGCTATTGGAGGAGGAGGCTCTGGTGCCAGGGGCCACGGAGGAGGCCCTCCTGGAACGCCTTTTCTCCTACTACGGCCCCCAGGAAGGCGACAAAAAAGGTAGGTGGCACCCCCCTCTCCGGGGGACCCACCTATCTGGGTCCAGGAGGCACTGAGTCCCTGGGCGCTGTGGAGCCGGCGCCCTGAGGGTCTGAACCTTGCGTCTCCCACCCTCAGGCCAAAGGCCCCTCCTGCGCAGCAGCAAACCGCGCCATTTCCTGCTGGGCCACAGCCACGGCACCAACTGGGTGGAGTACAATGTGGCTGGCTGGCTGAGCTACACCAAGCAGAACCCGGCTACCCAGAATGCCCCCCGGCTCCTGCAGGACTCCCAGAAGTAAGAATGCCACTCACAGCGCCCACGTCCCACTCCCCAAGGCTGTTCGTGGGCCCCCTGGTGGGAGGCTTCCTTCCCCAGCAGGGTAGACGCCCTCTGCTTCCTAAGAGGCAGGAGCCAAGGCTAGCTGAGGCCCTGGCGGTGGCCTCCTGCTGGGGTAGCAGCGGGGACAGACTAGGTTGGAGGACCCGTAGGTATTTTGGGGGTTTTGTGTGTATTTTAAAAATATTTTTATTGATTTCAGAGAGGAAGGGAGAGGGAGAGAGAGAGAGAAACATCAATGATGAGAGAATCATTGATCAGCGCCTCCTGCATGCTCCCTACCGGGGAGAGAGCCCACAACCCAGGCATGTGCCCTGACCGGGAGAATTGAAGGTGAGCTCCCGGTTCATGGGTCGATGTTCAGCCACTGAGCCATGCCAGCCAGGCTTATTTATTTATTGTTTATTTATTCTGGGGCGGAGCTATAATTTTAGATTTGACTAATACCCCCGCATTCTTCATAGAAGGCAGGCATAGCCTTAGAAACCTCTCGGGTGTATAATTCCTGTCATCCCTTCGTTTATTTAACAGATAATTACTGCCTTTGCTCTTACTATGGCCCCCAGGAAGGTGGCAAAAAGGTAGGTGGCACCCCTGGGGGAAGTACAGGAGCCGCCCTCCAGGGGTGCCACCTACTTCTTCCGTCACCTTCCTGGGGCCATAGGAAGAGCAAAGGCAGTAATTATCTGTTAAATAAATGGATGGATGACAGAGATTATACACCTGAAACGGAGTAAAACACAAATCCCTGCCTAAACCGGTTTGGCTCAGTGGATAAGAGTGTCAGCCTGCAGACTGGAAGGTCCCGGGTTCGATTCCGGTCAAGGGCATGTACCTTGGTTGTGGGCACATCCCCAGTAGGGGGTGTGCAAGAGGCAGCTGATCGATGATTCTCTCTCATCGATGTTTCTAACTCTCTCTCCCTCTCTTTTCCTCTCTGTAAAAAAAATCAATAAAATATATTTTAAAACAAACAAACAAACAAAAACACACAAATCCCTGCCCTTATGGAGTTTACATTCCAGGGGGACTGGAGACAGTAAACGTAATAGATTGTGTCTTCTGTTAGGAGATGTTGGGCTCCACTGTCTTCTGCTACATGGGTACCCCCCCCCCCCATCCTGCCTAGTGACAGAGAACAGACTGCCCGCTCTGTCCACTCCCTGCCTACCCCTCCCTCGGCTGCTGCCCACCCTGGTTTTGTCTTCTCGCTATTTAGAGATTTCTCTCAGGGGGGTGGGGCGGGGGGTTGTCTGGCTTCCTAGGAGCTCAGAGAAGGAATGGCCTCGACTGCTCTGTGAATGTGACTTCTTTCCTTCCCTCCTCCGGCAGGAAAATCATCAGCAACCTGTTCCTGGGCCGGGCGGGCGGCGCCACGGTGCTCTCGGGCTCCATCGCGGGCCTGGAGGGAGGCTCGCAGCTGGCGCTGCGCCGGGCGGCCAGCATGCGGAAGACCTTCACCACGGGCATGGCGGCGGTCAAGAAGAAGTCCCTGTGCATCCAGATCAAGCTGCAGGTGGTGAGTGTGCCAGCCCAGGCCCGGTGCCCCTTCTCACCCCTGGCAGGTAGCCGGGCCTTCTGGACACACTCCAGTCACCCAGGGCCCACTCTGCGTCCCACCTGGACTCGATTGATGCTGGTGGGGTCCCCTTTTTCAGTGCTGTTGCCTGAGTGGCAACTCAGACTTGTTTTTGTTGTTGTTGTTGGTTTAAATATTTTTATTGATTTCAGAGAGGAAGGGAGTGAGAGAGAGAGAAACATCAATGATGAGAGAGAATCATGGAACAGCTGCCTCGCGCGCGTGCGCCCCACCCTGGGAATTGAGCCCACAACCTGGGCACATGCCCTTGACCGGAACTGAACCCGAGACCCTTCAGTCTGCAGGCAGACACTCTATCCACTGAGCCAAACCTGCTAGGGCGGTAACTCAGATCTATAAAGGCAGAGTTACCCGGGCTTGGCAGAGCCTAGGCCAGTGGTCGGCAAACGCATTCGTCAACCGAGCCAAATATCAACAGTACATCGATTGACATTTCTTTGGAGAGCCACATTTTTTAAACCTAAACTTCTTCTAAATGCCACGTCTTCAACATAGACTTGCCCAGGCCGTGGTATTCTGTGGAAGAGCCACACTCAAGGGGCCAAAGAGCCGCATGTGGCTCACGAGCCGCAGTTTGCCAACCACGGTCCTAGGCGGTGGTGGGGCACCTGCCAACCTGCAAGGAGCGGAGATGCTGGTACCAGGTCCTTGAGGGCCGTCCCTTCCCCTCTGGCAGGATGCCCTCATTGACACCATCAAGAAGTCGAAGCTGCATTTCGTGCACTGCTTCCTGCCTGTGGCCGAGGGCTGGGCCGGGGAGCCCCGGTCCGCCTCCTCCCGCCGAGTCAGCAGCAGCAGCGAGCTGGACCTGCCCTCAGGAGACCACTGCGAGGCCGGGCTCCTGCAGCTGGACGTGCCCCTGCTTCGCGCCCAGCTCCGTGGTTCCCGCCTGCTTGACGCCATGCGCATGTACCGCCAAGGTAAGGCCTCCTGCGCGCTCAGCTTCCCTTTTCTGGAGCCGCCTCTGTCCCTCCCCATCTCCCCAAGGGGGGCCATGGGCTAAGGGGGTGCTGCTCCCCTCCTGTCTCCAGCCAGCCCTTGATCTCCTTCTGCCCCCGTGCCTCCTCTGTGGGACCTCGTCTCATCTTCCAGCCAGCGTGCTCCTTTCTCTTTCTTTCCATTCTGCTGGCTCCTCTCTTCTGCCTCTGCCTTCCATATCCCTGTCTTCACCCCCCTGAACTTCCCCACATGCCCTGTACCCAGATCTCCATCCTTTCCCCCCTCAGTGGTGTAGATGGTCACCTACCTCTGCCCACAGCAGCAGATGCCTCATGGAACCATCTGCTCAGTGGAGGTGCCCACCTCCAAGAGCAGGCTGGCGCTGGGTTAGTCCCCCAGTGAGAAATGAGGTGCTGATCATAGTCAACATTCACAGAGCGTTTACGAGTGCCAGGCACTATTCCAAAGTCAGCACACACATTAACGCATTTAACGTGTGGAGGCAGAACGGGACTGCCTCCTGACACGTGGGTGTTGCCATCAGTGCCAGACGAGGAGCCTGACGCTCAGAGAGGTTCAGCAGCTTGCCCAACCTCACACAGCTCGTGAGTGGCAGAGTGGGATCTGACCTAGGCAGTCCGGCTTTCCAGTTTCATGCCCCTCAAGTAGGGTTTCGTTTGTCGGAGACGTGACGAATTGCCAGGTTTCTGCCCGTTTCCCTCAGCGAGAGGGGCAGGCAGGGTCCCCCCACCCACAGCCAGGGTCCCCCCACCCACAGCCAGGTCCCCCGGAGGCATCCCCGTGGGCGCCGCCGCTTTCCCGGCAGCCCTGCTCTGCTCTAAGTAAATCATCGATCTGTCCCTGCGTCTTGATATGGAGTTGGTGTTTATTATTTCAAAACCAGATTGTTACCGCTCTGAACAAAAATCAATGTGCTTTACTCAAACAAGCAGATCGATGAGGCCAGCTGCCGCGGGGGGGCCCCCCCTTCCCTCAGCCCCCAGCCACCATCGATAGCGCTGATGATTAATTAAGACGCCAGGCGTCCGGACCTGCTATCCCGGCCCATCAATTTAATTGCAGTTCAGATACAATCAATAGCTCACTTTGTCTCGGCCCCTCCGCGGCCCCCGCCTCCTGTTTCAATTATCAGGCACATGCATCAGCCTCATCTCCCGGTTGGAGGCTTTCCCAGAGCCGGAGAGCGGGCCCCTTGGAGGCGGCCCCGCCTGGCTGCTGGAGTTCGGGCCCGGAGTCCAGTTCTGCCTCCAGCCACTGCCTTTGTGATCTCAGGCAATCAGTTGCTCCACCTCTCGCGCCTCAGTTTCCACGTCCGGAAGATGAGCTGTATCTGGTTTCACACGCTTTTCAGTTTGAAATTCCATGATTCTGTAGAGGTTGTTCTCTGGGTCCTCTATGGCAGGGGTCGGCAAACTGCGGCTCGCGAGCCGCATGCGGCTCTTTGGCCCCTTGAGTGTTCTAAGGCCACTTCTTCAAAATAGACTCGCCCAGGCCGAAAACCGACTTCTGTGCAAGGGCCAGGAAATTTCAATCGCACTGCATGTGCGCGCCCGCACGTGGTATTTGGTGGAAGAGCCACACTCAAGGGGCCAAAGAGCCGCATGTGGCTCGCGAGCCGCGGTTTGCTGACCACGGCTCTATGATGGGCTCTGGTCTCCTTCGGTGAGTCCGGGGAACCTCCGGCTGGCCACCACCCTGACCTTGCTCCAAACTGGAAGCCATCTCACCCTTGTCCTGACCTCAAGCCCTGACCCCAAGCCAGTATGGGCACCTCTGTGAGAAGTCAGGCTCCTTAGGGAAAAAGCACCTCCAAGTCTTTTGGGTCACGTAGCCCAGGACTCAAGGTCAAGATGGGGCTAGGGAGGGAGCCCTTCCCATGTCCTGTTTCAGTAGACTGAGGAAAAGGAGTCACCCAGCAGGGGAGGTGCTGATGGGCCTGGCCCCGGGCTGCTCTCCGTTTCTCATTAAATGGCTGCCCTGCTAGATACGTGCTCGGGCCCCCATTTAAAGATCAGGAACCCGAGGCTCAGAGAGGTCTCCTGACCCATCTAAGGTCACATGATACCAGGAGCTAGGGCCAGGGTTCCACCCCCAAGCTCATGGGCTGTTTCTCTCAGCTACTTTCTAACGCCCTATTTTTTTCTCTCTCTCCTTTTTTTTTTTTTTTTTTTTAATATATTTCATTGACTTTTCACAGAGAGGAAGGGAGAGGAGAGAGACAGAGAGCCAGGAACATTGATGGAAGAGAGACATCGACCAGCTGCCTCTTGCACACACCCCTTCCGGGGATGTGCCCGCAACCAATGTACATGCCCCTGACCAGAATCGAACCTGGTACCCTCCAGTCCGCAGACTGACACTCTGTCCACCGAGCCAAACCGGTCTCGGCTCTCTCTCTCTCTCTTATTATTAAGTCCTCAACACATTGTCCTCTGGGCTAGGACAGCCGTGGACTGGAGGACAGGAGAGCATTTCAGAGGCCATCTGGCTTTTGTAGCATTCCCTCCAGGTGGTCAGCCACCCCCCCCCCCCCATGTGCACCCCTCACGGGCAGGGAACTTGCTTCCTTCTAGAAGAACCTGTTCCCCTTCTAAACCTTGTAATGCCGCTGCAGGGCAGCCCGAGAGGTCCTCTCGGCTTCCTGTCCCTCGCCCCTGCCCTCTGCCTCTCCGCTCTCTCCTTCCCTTGGCCTGCCTTCACCGCAGGCTCTCCTGCCCCTGCCGTGTCTTCCCTGCAGGGGACCCTCCCGCCAGTGCCCGGCGCCGTGGCTGTGGGAGTGTGTGGGAGCAGGGGAGGTGCTGATGGGCCTGGCCCCGGGCTGCTCTCCCTCCAGGTTACCCCGACCACATGGTGTTTTCTGAGTTCCGCCGCCGCTTTGACGTCCTGGCCCCACACCTGACCAAGAAACACGGGCGCAACTACATCGTCGTGGACGAAAGACGGGTAGGTCTGGGCCCCAAAGCTCCCCTCCTCCTCCCCAACCCCCTTTCCTCAGCTCAGAGCCCTCTGAGTAGCTGCCCTTCCTTCCCTGGAGAGAGCTGGTCTGGCCCTTGCTCAGGCTCCTGGTTTGGGCCCTCCAGGAGGAGGACAGGGCCAGGGGGCAGCCAGACTGTGTCAGGAGGGAGGAGGGAGCCTGGGGAACGGACTGCAGGAACCGGAGGCCCTGGGTGGGGTGTCTGCTGACAGTCCTTCAAGAACCTCCGGGTGCAGGTGAGAGCTCATGCTTGGGTGTGCCGCTGGTAGTCCCTGGGCCCCCAGCCTTGACCTCCACGTGGGACTAGTTCCTGTAGGGGAAGCTGTGCCCTGGTGAGCCTCAGGCCTCTGGGGCCCCTTGTCCTGCCGGGCTGGTGATTTCCGCCAATGGGGATGTCATTCTAAGCTGACATTCTAAGCTGTCGCCTTGACCCCAGAGGCAGCTCCTGGGAGAGACAAAGGGCTCCTCCCAAGCAGAGGAATCCTCCCTCCCTGTGCTCTGCCCTGGGGCACCCTGCCTGGCTCTGAGAGCATCCTCCCTCAGGCTGGCTTCCCTAAGAGGGTGGGTGCTCTACAGAAGGGGCAGGAAGCCCCCTCCCCCTTATCCTGAGTCACACACAGACCCACATTCATGGAGACCCCATAACCTTCTCGCATCCAAGACCGGCCAGGGGCCCTCCGCAGACCTGGTGTGAATGTAGGCGACCTGCCCCACAGCCCCTTCCCTCCAACGCTTCGCCTTCATTCCAGCCTCCCACTCACGGCCACGGCCACGGCCACGGCCACGCCTGGCCGGCCTGGAACTGCTTCGCCTCTGGAATCCCAGCGTGGCCTTCTCTGGCTTCAGCCTCCCTCCTGTGCGCCTCCCCCTGCTCTGTCCATGGAGACCTCTCCTGTCTGGATCCCACCGCGGTTTCTCTACTCCGTCCGTTCCGCCTCTCTTTACTTCCTTTTCCGCTCAGCCTCACACCCTCTGGCCGCAGCCTTCATTCCCATCCTCAGCTCTTCTGAGCCTCCCCTGGCACCTGCCCTGCCCACCCCCACCCCGAAGGGGCAGCCAGTGGCATCCACCCGCCTCCGTTTAGCGCTGCCAAGTTGCCGTGGGAGAGAAGGAGACAACCATGTGGACTTGAATTCCTACAGCTTCATGGTCTCCAGCCCCGACTGGGCCCTGGGGTGGCCTGGCAAGTTTTCCATGTGCCCCATCCTGGCCTGGGCCCGATGCTAAGCTCCTTCCCTGACACTCCATCCTCCACATTTCTCCACTAATCCTCTCCGGCCCTGCTTGCCCAGGTCTCCTGACCAGCCGTTGACCTTGCCTCTCAATGCTAATAAAATCGAGGCTCCAACTTCCTCCTCCGTCTTCTGTGCACTGCTCTTCCGGTGCCTCCTTCCTCCTGTCTGGGTGGGAGAAGCATCCCTCCCTCGTCCAATAACATTCCCTGTGGTCTCCCTGGAGACCTGCCCCCTCGGTGGTAACTCTCCTCGCCTGTTCCTTCGGCCTTTCTTCTGCTGGCTCTTCCATCCATGGAGAAACCTCCCACAGACATTGTGGTCAGAAAGGAGACTTCTGTTAACTCTCTCATGCCGACCGTTGTCTGTCTCCTGCCTGCCCTCTTCCTTCAACACTTCCTCTCCTCGTGTGTCCTCCCACCCCACCGCCCTTCCTTCCTCCACCCACAGCTGCCAGTTCCCATCCCTGACACCCTGGGACCCATCTCCTTGTCTCCTCCTGCCCTTCATGTTTCCAGAGCTCACGGGCCCCTTTCTGTGCTTCCCCACAACACGTGACTCCGTGGACAACTCTGTTCTTTTTGAAGATCTCTGCTCAGCCCACCCCTGGCTTGCCCTCGTCTCTCTGTTCTGTCCTTCTCAGAACTTATGAGCTTCCCTGCTTCCACTTGCCCCCGAAATAAAGGTCTCCCTCTTCTTTGAGACTCTCTCCTTGGCCCTGTGTGTTTTCTCTCCTGCATCCTCTTCCAGGGCAACCTAATTCACACTTTGATGACCACAGATGTATTGATGACTCTCAAATCAATAGTTCTAGCCCAGGCCTCTCTCCTCAACTCCAGACGTGCGTTTTTATTCAGCTTATTTCTGGACTTCTCTACAGGTGTGACCTATAGCACCTCACACTCAGCTTATTCACACCAAACTGGTGAGACTGCCTCCAAAACCCACTCTTTCTCTTGTATTCTCTCCCGTAGAAAATGACACCGTGGTCTGTTTAGTTACATAAGTCAGAAAGAAACTTCAGTGTGTCCCTAGGTTCCCTCCTCTCCTCTGCCCATCCCCATACCTGGCAGGCTCTATCTCCTTAACATCTCCTGCAAACCCCCCCCCCACCCCTGCACCACCACCCCCCACCCCCGCCCTGGCCCTTTAGGTCAGGCTCTTTGTAACCTCCTCTCCTGTAGATTATTGCAGTAACTGCCTAAGGGGGTTTCCATTCATCCTCTGCCCTTTTACCAGTGATATCTCCTTAGAATGCAAATCAGATCATGTCTTTACTGAGAGAACCCTCCAGGACCTCTCAGATCACACAGATTCCAAGCATTTTGGCTACTGCCCTGATTGTACCCTAACTGCTCCCACTTCACTCCAAACCAGACTATTTTTCTCAGCACATTCTCTTGTCTTCTGCTCCGGGCCTTTGCTCATGCTAGTCTCTCTGGCTGAAATGCCCTCCCCCCTATTTTGTCTGGCTAATTCTTTTTATCTAAAGACTCAGTGCAATCCACACCTCCTCCAGGAAGCCTTCCAGGATCCCCTTGGCTGGCGTTGATGCCTCCTCCTCTATGTACGTCACTAATTCACTTGTCTCACAACACCCAAAAGATCGCTTATATCCTTCTATTCCCAGAATCTACCAAATGCCTGACCCTGTGGAAGCCACCGAAAGTGGTTGGTGCACAAATAAGGGACTGAGTGGAAGACAGGGAAGGACTGAGTGACTGGGCGGAGCCCTCTGTGGATGGGGAGTCCCTGGGTGGGCTCATGACAGAGACCTCTCTCTCTGCAGGCGGTGGAGGAGCTGCTGGAGTCCTTGGACCTGGAGAAGAGCAGCTGCTGCATGGGCCTGAGCCGGGTGAGCTGTCCCCACAGGAAAGCAGTCGGGCCTCACTCTCTGGTCAACCCTGTCCACATGGCTGGCCCTCCCCCACTGCCCTCCCTGCTCCGTCTTACTCCAGGAGCCTCCTGGTGCCCCTTCTGCATCTTGCCCCCCCCCGAGTTCCCCTTCTGCATCTTGCCCCCCCGAGACCCCTTGTCCACCACCCCAGCCACTCTGGGGCCGCCCTTCCTCTCAAGCTGCCCTTGTTAGGGCGAGGGGCCAGGAATTTCGAGATTCCAGCTGCAGCAAACCTGATGTTCCTCCCTCTGAGTAACTGGCTTGTTTGGCGCCGTGAACACCTCGTGATGTCAGCAGGGAGTGGGTTGGAGAGTGGCCCTGAACTCGCCCTGGGACCCGGTGTGGGGAGTGGGGAGGCCGGAGGGAGGAGGGCTAGAAGGATCAGGAAGGCAGCAGGCAGAGCACTCCGGAGGGCAGACCCCCCTTTGGCAGGTCCTTGGGGGCTGCCAGGGTCCCAGGAGGGCGAGCAGGACATGGAAAAGCTGTGCTGCCGCCACCTGCCCACGGGCCGGATTCCTCACCTGAATGGAACGTGGCCCATAAAAGGCAGGCACGCCCGGCCCTGGGTGCCAGTCTGCCGCATCGCCACACAAGAGGGTCAGCTGAGCATTCCTCCCATGCGCCAGGGAGCCCTGCAGGCCACTCTTTCCCGCGACTGGGAGGCTTGACCAGCAGCGTCCACGTATGTGCTCAAGGGCTGCGGCGGGAGGGAGAGCAGCTGGGAGCCAGACGGAAGGTTCTGGGCCTGTGCACTCGTCAGCACACAGGGAGGAACTCCGGTCCCAGGGCCTCACGGAGAGAGCGAGGTGGAAGGGGATGCTCCAGAAACAGCTTACGTGTGGTCTGTCCACGCTGTTCTCTCCGTTCTGCACGCTGAGCCACGCTCTTGGTTCCTCCTGCCCCCTCCCTCCCTGGGAATCCCTCTCCAGTCCCCTCGCTGTGTCTTCGTCTCTGCTGTCCTTGGCGTCCCCTCGGGCCCTGCCGTCCCTGCTGGTCTCCATTCCTTCGTTTCTGGTTCTGTTGTTCTAGTTCTTTCCTGGGCCTCTGTGTCTTCTGCATCCCGCCCTCGTTCCGTGTCATTTTTCTGGCTTTGATTTCTGCTGTCTGGCTTGCCTCCTCCCCCTCCTCATCCCCGGCTGTCTCTCAGCTGGGGCTGCCGGCTCAGCTTCTTCCCTGGGTTTCATGTCAGCCTCCTGGTCTTCCCCCGGGTGGGCTCCGGCCCCTCTGGCAGGCTGAGCTGCTACTGGCTGGCACTGGGGTGGCACCTCCTCCAAGGCATGTCTTGGGCAGGGCAGGGCCTGCCCAGGCTGGTCCTCCTCCCGGCTGCCACCTCAGTCCCTCTACATCGTCCCCGTGCCCAGCTGAGGCAGTCGCACCCCAGGGGGGCAGAATTAGGGGCAGCGGCAGATGTCCGCTCACATCTGGTTTGGGAGAGAAGTTCAGGACTTCTTTTTTATATGTATATATATATATTTTTTTTTTATTTTAATTGATTTTTTACAGAGAGGAAAGGAGAGGGATAGAGAGTTAGAAACATCAATGAGAGAGAATCATCGATCAGCTGCCTCTTGCACACCCCCTACTGGGGATGTGCCCGCAACCCAGGTACATGCCCTTGACCGGAATCGAACCTGGGACCTTTCAGTCCGCAGGCTGACGCTCTATCCACTGAGCCAAACGGGTTTCGGCGAAGTTCAGGACTCCTGTGGTTAACACTGGGTGGAGAGCAAGGACCCCCGTTTGTCATATCATTTCAAAGGGGTGGGGAGGTGTCTCAGTCTGAGCCCACAGGGCCCTGAGGGTTTAGACAAGGAGTTGGGGGGGGTCTCAGACCTCTGGTTATTGTGTGTGAAATGAGTGTGGATGGCTGTGTTGGGAAGGAGACAGCCTGAGCCTTCCCCTAATACTCAGAAGGACTCCTCACCCCACAAACACACAGCTGTTCACGACAGGATCGAGGCTCCTGCCCTCGCCTCTAGCCCAGTGGTCGGCAAAATCATTCGTCCACAGAGCCAAATATCAACAGGACAACGACTGACATTTCTTTTGAGAGCCACAATTTTTAAACTTAAACTTCTCCTGACGCCACTTCTTCAACATAGACTCGCCCAGGCCGTGGTGTTTTGTGGGAGAGCCACCCTGAAGGGGCCAAAGAGCCGCCTGTGGCTGGCGAGCCGCAGTTTGCCGACCACGGGTCTAGACCATCCTTTTTCTTCTCGTGTGTGTTTCTGGGCCATTGCCTGTCCCCCACCTGGCACCTCACTGCTTCCGTCCCAGTCAGACAACTAACTGTGCGTGCGGGCCGCTGGCACAGGGGCGTGGCTAGTCCCCAGCCCCTGGGCGGGTCGGGGGCTCACACGCTGTGGGAGATCGAGGCTCAGGTGGGACTCGGGGTCCCTGGGAGATGCCGGGCGCTCGGCCCCACATGTGGGGTTGGGGAGAATGTTCCAGAAGCCTGAGCTGCCTTCCTCCGGGCGGCCTCCGGGGACTAGGTTTCCTCGGCGGCGCCAGAGGCAAAGCTCTCTCGGCAGCAAGCGGAGGCCTCTCCCCACGGGCCCCCTGGAGGGAGGCCTGGGGCTTGTGCCTCGTGGTTTTGAGTCTTTCCCCACGGAGTTCACGGCTCCTCTCTGCCCCTCAGAAGGGAACCGTGTGCGTCCTGGGCATGGTGGAGGTGGCATGTCCCTGTCCCTTTGCCCTCTCTAAGGAGACTAGAGCCTTTTCTCGCCTGACCACCTCCCCCTCTTCTTCCTCTCTCAGTAGGAAAGCACGTACCCAGCTCCAGCTCAGGGCACCCAGGAGTGAAAGGAAGGCTGGGCGTGGGGGCATCCAGCTGGGTGCTCTCACATCTGCCCTCCAGCCCCCAAACCTGTAGGACAGGTCCCTTGACTGGGCCAACCTCCGCCCACCACACCGGCTTCTTCGGCTTCTTCGGGAGATGAAACCTGGGTGTGTGGGTGGGGGTGGGGTGTTGGCACATGAAAGAAACTGAGCTGGGAGGGTCCAGAGAAGGGGCCCCCTCCCCTGCCCACCCCCTTCCTCTGCACACTGCGTTCTGGACCTCCTCCTTCTTCTTCCCCCCCCCCCCCCCCAGGACACCACCATCCGCTTCACCCGGCCTCAGGCAGCTGGATGCCAAAGGCAGCTGGAGCGTGCGGTTGGGCCCTGCGGTGGGCGGTGGGTGGGCACAGGGGGCGTGGGGCGTGGGCAGTGTTGCTGGCAGTGCTGGGGAGAGAGCCGCCCTTGTCGATGTGGCTGAGGGGTGTCCTCTCCCCATTTGACCAGCGGTGCTGCTTTTCCTTCTCATCCCTACACCTTCCTCCGACTCCACCTCGTTTCATCTCTCTTTGAAGTTAGATTTCCCACCTACGCCTCCCCTCCCAAAACTTCCCGCCCCTCTCCCCTCCCCCCCCCCCCCCCCGCCGGCCCTCCCCTCTCCGCTCCCCTCCTGTCTCGGACACTTGGGTTCTCAGGCTCTTCCCAGGCCCGGGGTCGCGCGGGGAGGCCCCCCGGCTGGTTTCCTGTGCCTGCTCCTCCCGGTTTCCTCGGTTTCCTCGCTGGGCCACCCCACCCGGCTCCTGCCTTCACCCGCCTGCTTCTCCGCAGGTGTTCTTCCGGGCGGGCACCTTGGCACGGCTGGAGGAGCAACGGGACGAGCAGACCAGCAGGAACCTGACCCTGTTCCAGGCGGCCTGCAGGGGCTACCTGGCCCGGCAGCACTTCAAGAAGAAAAAGGTGCCGCTGCCCAGCCCCGCGGGCAGAGCGGAGTTCCTGGGATGGGGTGGGGTGGGGGGCTGCAGGGAACGTGGAGGGGCAGGAGGCTGGTCTGGGGGCTGTGAGCTGTTGTACCTGGGGGAGAAGATGGAGGGGCCTCCGGGGGCCGCCATGCCCTGGGCCAGGCTGGGGAACGGGGCCGTCCCTCAGTGCCGGCGAGAGTGCTGGTGTGCTCCGTGCTGAGACCATGTGGCCTGGCCCACGAGTTACAGGGTGGGGTGGGGGCCCGGGGCCCAGACAGAGGTGGGCTGAGGACCCCGGGCTCCTCCATGAAGATTAAGGAGCTGTGTCAGCGGCTCCTTTTCTTATTAGCAAGTCCATAAAACAGCCAGCGCCGCCTCCTCTGTGTTTCAGCAAGATTAGGTTTTATAGCGTTTGCAGGCCAGGGTGCTGGAAATGATCAGGCGGCAAATAAAGCAAATGGAACGGTTCCTAATGATGGCGGAGGGGCCGGAGCCCAGGGCCGTGCTCCCAGGGCCGGTCTCTGAGGGACACGGGAGGCGGGCAGCAGAGGGAGTTTGGACGCCGGGGCAGGTGGCCAGAGGAGCAGCGCCGTGGGGAGGATCCCGCTGGGCCTGGTGCTGAGAGCCCCACTGCGCGCCACCCCTGCCCCATCTTAGATCCAGGACCTGGCCATCCGCTGTGTGCAGAAGAACATCAAGAAGAACAAAGGGGTGAAGGACTGGCCCTGGTGGAAGCTCTTCACCACCGTGCGGCCCCTCATCGAGGTGCAGCTGTCCGAGGAGCAGATCCGGAGCAAAGACGTACGTAATGGCCCCGGGGGGGGGGGGGGGGGCGGGGGAAGCCCTGTTCGTCCACACGGGCAAGAGTCTGGCCAGCTTTTCTTGGGCTCCCAAGTGCTTCTTCCCGAGAGCTGGTGACCTCCAGTCTGCCCGTCACACAGAAGGCCTCCCCTGGGCTGCTGGCTGAGGATAAAACCTCGGGCAGTGGCTTCCCGTGTCCTTGTGTCCTGGCCCCAAGCTTTACCGGCTTTGTTCACCCCAGGGGTGCGGATCCGGGGCCCTCACCTCTCGCAGCGCCTCTGGCTCACTTTGCACTCCTCGCTGCCCCCTAGGAGGAGATCCAGCAGCTGCGGGGCAAGCTCGAGAAAGTGGAGAAGGAGCGGAATGAGCTGCGTCTCAACAGTGACCGGCTGGAGACCCGGGTGAGTGACTCCCAGCACCAGACAAGCTGGCTCTCCGCCACAGGGAGGCTGGGCCTAGGAGGCCTCCCCTTCCCACCCCACCCCCACCCCCCCACTCCCCAGCGTTCCGGCTGAATGAGGCAGGCAGTTCAACTGGTAACTGGTGGCATCTCCCCCCCGCCCCCAGATCTCAGAGCTGACATCGGAGCTGACAGATGAGCGTAACACGGGAGAGTCCGCCTCCCAGCTGCTGGACGCGGAGACCGCCGAGAGGCTCCGAGCGGAGAAGGAGAAGAAGGAGCTGCAGGTGAGGGCAGGGCCGGGGTGAAGACAGCCATGCTGGCGGCTGCCGCACTCTAGTGCCCATCTGCCTCCCCCCAAGGACGGGTGGCATCGCTGCCACTAGCCCGGCACCTCTGTCTGCCCTGGGTAAGCGTGTGCCCGGGGCCTGTGTGGTTCAGCGACGTGGGGGGTACTGAGTGAGGGACGGAACAGCACACCTCCTCACCCCCTCTCCCGCAGACCCAGTACGATGCACTGAAGAAGCAAATGGAGGTGATGGAGGTGGAGGTGATGGAGGCCCGCCTTATCCGGGCGGCCGAGATCAACGGGGAAGTGGACGACGACGATGCAGGTGGGTCTGGGGCTGCAGCGGCTCTGAGGGGCAGCTCTGATGCCCACCCCTGGGTAACCACACCCCTTGTCCAGGCAGGTCCCTTTGTAGAGTGCTGGGATAAGGCTGTGTGACGTCAATGGGCAGTACAGGTGCCAATCAGTGCAGGGGATTATGGTGGAGGGCCGTGATAGCCATGGTCATGACCGCGTTTGAGGGCCAGGGTCTGGCCGTCCCAGCGATTGGCTCCTTCCACCTTGGGACGAGGCCATCACTCCAGAGACATGTCTGAGTCCCTCTGGCTGACTCCACCTGCTGCCCCTCCCGGCCCCATTCTTCTTCCCCCGTACCCTTTCTTGGGGACTCTCAGAAGCTCAGGCCTCCCTGTCTGGCCCCGCCCCCCAGGAGGCGAGTGGCGCCTGAAGTATGAGCGGGCTGTGCGGGAGGTGGACTTCACCAAGAAGCGGCTCCAGCAGGAGTTCGAGGACAAGCTGGAGGTGGAGCAGCAGAACAAGAGGCAGCTGGAGAGGCGGGTGAGTCTGCCCGAGGCAGTGGAGGCCTGGGCCTGGGAGGGCAGGGAGGGCTCGGTCCCCCATGCTGGCCCAGGCAAGGGCCAGGGGCGGGCCAACCCTGGGAGCAGCAGGAGAGGATTGGCGTGCTCGCCTCTCAGGGCGGGGACCCCCCAAGGGCAAACCCAAGTTGTTCAAGTGTCTTCGTTTCCTGAACGTCCCTGACTCCTTCCCTTCTCTCTGGTTTCCCCTTCACTTCTCCGTCTCCTCCTCCTCCTCCTCACCTTCTCCAACACATCCGTCCGGGCCTCTCCATGGCCGATGACCCTGCACCATCCGGGCCCCAGCTCGGGGATCTGCAGGCCGACAGTGAGGAGAGCCAGCGGGCCCTGCAGCAGCTCAAGAAGAAGTGCCAGCGGCTGACGGCCGAGCTGCAGGACACCAAGCTGCACCTGGAGGGCCAGCAGGTCCGCAACCACGAGCTGGAGAAGAAGCAGAGGAGGTGGGTGGGTCCCCGGCACCGGGCTCAGAGGACCTTCCAGACCAGCCTGGACGGGCCTCGCTGCCTCTCCCTCCAGGGAGGGAAGAGAGAAGGGCCTGGGTTTGGCCAGGGGCCTCGCCTGCATGGTCACACTCGCCCGGAACGTGAATGCTCACACTCGCCCTGACCTCTGAGAAGCCCTCAGCCCACATCCCATCGAAGGCCTGCTCAGGCCTGTGCTCTCGGACATGCTCCCCCAGAGTCCTGTCGCCCTGCCCGGGCCCCGCAAGGACAGACGGACGGGCACCAGCCAGGCCCCCTGCAGGGACCACTCCTCCGGGGCCCTGCCCTCGTGCCCACCACCCCGCTCCCCAGCTCTCCCTTGCCTCCGCTCCACAATCACACTCCCCTGACTAATGTCATTAAACGACCGTGCCACTTCCATCTCATTATGGTAATGGCCCAGGGAGGGGGGCAGCCCTCACAGGAGAAAATCCAATCTAAATTAATTTCCCTGGCTGGGATGGGAACGGGCCGCCTTTACTAGCAATGCCGAGGAACCCACACCCCCTGGGCACAGCGGGGCACCACGAGTTGCCCTGGAAGTGAGAGCTACAGAGCCCCAGGGACCCCAGTTTCCCTCGTCCTCCTGGCTGGGCTGCTGCTTTGTGGAGAGGGCGAGGAGACAAGGTCTTACACGTCTCCCTCCCAGCACCCTGACTCTGCTTCCCTAGTTCTTATCCCTTTTACCTAGCGGCGGGCACCCTTCGCGGGAACCCCCCTCTGAGCCCCCCGATGGCAGTGCCAGTGGGGCCTTGCTGCACTCCCCACTGGGCAACTTATTAGGTTTCTGCTGCCTGGAGTTTTCTTCCTTTTTTTTTTTTTTTTTTTTTTTTTTTTTGATACAGTTGTTGGGGTAGGAGGAGCTATTCCGTTTTCGACAGGAACCTGATTAGCTATTCAGGGAAGGTGCTAAGAGGAATTTTAGTCATTTGCTTCTTAGTTAAAGTCACTGGGCAGGAAACGGAAGGCTGGGGCGTGGAGGTGTGAGGAAAGAGGCCCCCAACCGTGGATGCGCGCTCACCCACCGAAGCCTGGGGCCGGTGGGGCCAGTGGCACTGCTGGCCTCCAGCCCCGAGTGGGGTGTCCTGGTGGAGACAGGCACACCGCTGGGGCGGGGGCGCCTGGCGAGAGGCTAGTGGCAGAGAAGTGGGGGCAGGAGCCAAACTGAACTGCAGAAAGAGTTAGACGAGGCAGCGGGATGTCCATTTCTGCCCACCTTGATCCCCTCTCTGCCCTCACCCGGGGCCCTCACTCTTTTTTTTTTTTTTTTTTTTTAATATATTTTATTGATTTTTTACAGAGAAAAGAGAAGGATAGGGAGTTAGAAACATCAATGAGAGAGAAACACCAATCAGCTGCCTCCTGCACACCCCCCTCTGGGGATGTGCCCGCAACCAAGGTACATGCCCTTGACCGGAATCGAACCTGGGACCTTCCAGTCCTCAGGCCGACACTCGATCCACTGAGCCAAACCGGTTTCGGCAGGCCCTCACTCTTATCTGTTGAAATGAAATGGGATGTTCTCTGCCCTGTAACCGTCCGTGGGTCCTCGTAGGAACCCCCGGTGAAATGCTCCTTGGACCAGCTGGATGAAATGGCTCCCCACCCCACCAATCCCAGACCAGGTCCCTGAGCAGGGCCTTGACGGCCTGCCCCCCGAAATGTCACCTCCCCCCGCCGTAGTTCAGGCGGCAGGGGCACCCCCTCCGCTTGTATCCCGTCTGTCCCTGCGGCATCCTCTCCCGGCAGCCTCTGGGTGCTGAGACCAGACCGTTCCCTGGTCTGACGGGGCCGCTCTGCCGTGCCCCCTCACAGGTTTGACAGCGAGCTCTCGCAGGCACACGAGGAGGCTCAGCGGGAGAAGCTGCAGCGGGAGAAGCTGCAGCGGGAGAAGGACATGCTCCTCGCCGAGGCTTTCAGCCTGAAGCAGCAGCTGGAGGTGCGTTGGGCCGCCTGCCACCCTCACCCCGTCCCCTTCGCAGGCCTGGGGTTGGCCCAGGACCCGCCTCAGCTTCTCTTTTGCTCTAGGAAAAAGACATGGACATTGCAGGGTTCACACAGAAGGTCGTCTCCCTGGAGGCTGAGCTCCAGGACATCTCCTCCCAAGAGTCCAAGGATGAAGCCTCTCTGGCCAAGGTCAAGAAGCAGCTCCGGGACCTGGAGGCCAAGGTCAAGGACCAGGAAGAGGAGCTGGATGAGCAGGCGGGGACCATCCAGATGCTGGAACAGGTGCTGGGAGGCTTGGCGGAGGGAGGCACCACAGTCCCCACAGCTCGCCTGAGGCCTGGGCAGAGGAGGGCAAGATCTCAGACTCAGTCATTCGTTCCCTGATCCACCAAGTGTTGAGTGAGCTGACCATAGTGTGAAGATAACTAAGCTTCCGTAGTGCTTTCCACAAGAGCATGCCTTGGTTGAGCTCCAGTGGGAAGGGGTGAAGGGTGCACGGCACCCATGCTGGCTGCCACTGAGCCACCGTATCAGCTAAGCCTGGAGGCCAGTGGAAAAGCTTCAGGGTGGCGCCACCCCTGCAGCCTTCTCTGGGCCTGGGCTAGACCCCTAGGAGGGAGTTCAGCTTCCCCGGTAAAGCCACAGGAGCAAGGCGGGAGCAGAGCGAACTGCTGGCAGCAGTATTCCCTGCTCCTGATTCCGGAGAAAGCTGCCCATCAGGGTGCAGTGGGCAGGGGTCAGAGTGCCCTGGGGCAGAGGTCAGCGAGCTGCTGGGAAAGGAACCCAGTCTCTACGCCCGCCCACCTCCAGGCCAAGCTGCGGCTCGAGATGGAGATGGAGCGGATGAGACAGACCCACTCCAAGGAGATGGAGAGTCGGGACGAGGAGGTGGAGGAGGCCCGGCAGTCGTGTCAGAAGAAGGTAAGGCGATGGGTACCGGCCTGTGCAGTCGGCATGAACACCGGTTCCCCCATCACTGTTTCCCGGCCTTCGCCACGCCTTCTTCCACTGCCCTCCTGGGCCAGGAGTCTCCGCTCCTGACGTTGGCTGGGATGCGTGTCCTCAGGGTCTGTGGGGAAACTTGGGCCCCTGAGGGACTAGTGCTCTCTGCTTTCTCTGCTCAGCAGCAGCCCACCCTGAGCCACCCTGGGCGGCCAGCTCGCCTGGCTCTGTGGGGCCTGCCCTCTCTGGAACGAGGGCTCCCGCTCTCGCCTGGGGCCACCATCATGTGCTGCCACACACCCCCCTCCCTCCTCGGCTGCTGTGAGACCCTAGGAACCTCACGTGCAGGGTCTGACCCCTCTGGGGTCACTCCTGCTCAGCCCTGCCCACTGTTTCCCGGGGGGTGGGAGGAGTCAGGAGGAAAGGGGACTGCCTGGCCCCAGACACTGGGGACTGACAGGGCCCTGTTCCCGCGGTTCTCCAGTTAAAACAAATGGAGGTGCAGCTGGAGGAGGAATATGAGGACAAGCAGAAGGTGCTGCGAGAGAAGCGGGAACTGGAGGGCAAGCTCACCACGCTCAGCGACCAGGTGAGTGCGGGACTGCCGGCTGGGGCGCGGCCAACCGCCTGCCCCATCCAGACTTAGGGATGGGACTCTGGCCAGGGGTCGGAGTGCCATGGGCAGAGGTCAGAGGTCTGGGAACGTGAAAGGCGGTGCTGGGATCTGTGGAGCCCACTGCCATCAGAAGGGGGGTGATCGTCAGACATTGCCCACCCAGGCTTTTCTCACTGGCCGGCGTGACCCTGGCACTCCCTCTCAGAATGAGAGCCGGGGTGCAGCGTGAGCTCAGGGAAGACAGGAGGGGGCCCTGTAGTAGAGCCCGGAGCCTCGACGTCTGGTGCCCACCCAGGTGAGCCAGCGGGACTTCGAGTCGGAGAAGCGGCTGCGGAAAGACCTGAAGCGCACCAAGGCCCTGCTGGCGGACGCCCAGATCATGCTGGACCACCTGAAGAACAACGCGCCCAGCAAGAGGGAGATCGCCCAGCTGAAGAACCAGGTATCTGCGCCGAGGACGTGGCCCGCACTCAGGGCAGCGGGGCTTGCCCCAGTGTTCCTCCTCTCCCTCGCGCCCCTCTCAGTGGGTCTTGAGTCCTTGGGAAGGAAGGTGACAGGGAAGCGGGAGAAGCTGCTTGTAACAGCCGTCCTCCCGGGGTCTCTGCATGCCGCCCAGCGTGACCGCCAAGCCCCGGGCCGCTGGGCGTGGGCCCGGTACCCACCCTGTCATGGAAGGAGGTGCCTGTGCCCACACCACGGCGCCCTGAGGTGCACACGGAGGAGGAAAGGAGCGCGCCCGGGCTCCCTCTCCCCCGGGAGCACCCTGCAGGGCCCTCCTGGCCCCAGGGAAAGGCTGACGTCTCTCCCTGGGGCGGGGGTGGCTCTGTGTCCAGCTGGAGGAATCCGAGTTCACCTGTGCAGCCGCCGTGAAAGCACGCAAAGCAATGGAGGTGGAGATCGAAGACCTGCACCTGCAGATTGACGACATCGCCAAAGCCAAGACAGCGGTGAGGAACCGGGGGGCGCGGGCCGGGCTGAGGGAGAACAGAGCTGTGACCGCCGCTGCCTCCACTCCAAACAGGGACCCTTCCCCAGCCAGGTCCCGTCATGCCAGGACGTTCTGCAGGGAGAGAGCAGGCCTTCCTTCCCCCGGACCCCCCCATCTTCCCCGCTAACAGCAGAGGCCCGCCAGGGGGCGAGGTGAAAGGGAGCCAGCCAGGGCCCCTCTCCCTGTGCAACCACCTGCCTGTGGGAGCTTGGCCACAGGCCCCAACGCCATTAATAATAGCCGCTAATGTGGCTGAGGGATGTAAGCAGGTGCCTGGAGATTAGCAGAGGCACCGATAAGGGGACAGGATGGCTGGTTTCCCTCCCCTTCCCCCCGGCCAGCCCACTGGCAAGCCCAAGCGGCAGCTAATTAGCACTCTTATTTATTTAATGCCTCCCTTTTAACTCCCCACCTCTCCCACGGCCCATGCAAAGCTGGACGGGAATTCATTGCTGGGATGAGGCCACCAGCACTAGGGCACCATCTCCAGCAGGGAACGGGGCGGGCGGGGGGAGCTGGGCTCGGCTCCACGACCCCAGAGCTAGCCACCCGGCTACCAGTGCCAATCTTCCGGGCGTGATTTATCCCCGTGACATTTGTGCTTTTCAGCAGTTTTCAGGTGAGTAATTCAAATTCCTTAATTGTGTTAAAAAAGGCTGTTATAAAATTACCATTTTATTTAAATCCGAGTTAATAAATTTCTTGGCAGAGGCTTCCCCAGCTCCCCACAGCCCGGTAACAAGATGGATGGGGCAGGGAAGGAGCCAACGCAGTCATTTTCGTTTGGAATTACAGGCTAATAGATTCATTCATTTCCTGAAGCTGCTGTTGGCTGTCGCTTCCCCTCCCCCCACCACGAGTGGACTGGCTGTGGGGGCTGGGAGGCCAGGGAGCAGGTGGTCCCCAGGGAAATGAGAGCTTCCAGGATTTGAGGGGTCCTTCCTGGGACCTGAAGGGGGCAGAGGGCAGGAAGGGTAGGGCCTAGACGGCTAGTGCTAGGGTCCTGGGCCACTTGTTCTGGGCAGATCTTTTTTGCCTTTTTTATGAGCCTCCAAAGAGCTGCTAGGAAGCAGCTGTCATTTTTTTAGCTCGGGGTAAGCCTGAGCTGCAAAGACAGCCCTTTCCCTCATCTCCCCGGCCCCGAGCCGGACAGGCGGCTCCCTGAGGGGACTGGTCCTGGAACCCACTCCAGCAGGCAGCCCTGGCCTGTCATCCCCACGCCCCTCCCCTCAAAGGTGGCATGGGGAAGCTTTCCGACTCTCACTCAGACGGAGGCCCTCTCATCTGTCTTTGTTTCTGTCCAGCTGGAGGAGCAGCTGAGCCGCCTTCAGCGTGAGAAGAACGAGATCCAGAACCGGCTGGAGGAGGATCAGGAAGACATGAATGAGCTGATGAAGAAGCACAAGGCAGCTGTGGCTCAGGTACCCTGCCCAGGAGCGCCCACCACAGCCCGCGGCCCGGGCACTGACCTCCCCCAAGGTCCCAGGCGCATCTTGGGAGCGGTTGCAGGGCCCGCGGTCCGGGGCATGCAGAGGACGGTGGAGTGGGGTACATTCGAGGGTCGTGGAGGGTCCTGCTTCAGCACTCACTCCCTCCCCAGGCCTCCCGGGACCTGGCTCAGATGAATGACCTCCAAGCTCAGCTAGAAGAAGCCAACAAGGAGAAGCAAGAGCTGCAGGAGAAGGTGGGGATCGGGGCCCTGCCGTGGGAGAGAGAGGGCGCCCACGGGACAGCAAGCACGTCTCTCTGCCACCGGCCGTCCACGGAGCAGTGTCGAGTGCAGAGAGAGCGAGGCTCGGAGCCACGTCGCCATAGCAGACGCTTTGGCTTCAGCTGCCTCATTTCACATTTCTCTTCCCTCCCTGGTCCTCGGCGTTCTCCTCGCCCTCCAAAGGGCTCAGTCTGTGCCAGTGCTGGGCCAGGTGGGGGATGCCTCTGGCTCAGAGCCCCATTCTTCCACCTCCCCTGCCATCCCTCCCTCCTTTCCCTCCCTCCTCCCTCTGCCTTCTGGTCACCATGGTGATCTTTCCAGCCCCAGACTCTGCCCCCCTCCCTTGTGGGCTCAGTTCCTTCTTCTCCTCCTGCTTCCCACCCCCAGCTCCAGGCCCTCCAGAGCCAAGTGGAGTTCCTACAGCAGTCCATGGTGGACAAGTCCCTGGTGAGCAGACAGGAGGCGAAGATCCGAGAGCTGGAGACGCGCCTGGAGTTCGAAAGGACCCAAGTGAAGCGGCTGGAGGTGGGTGCCCACTCCTCGCGGCCCGCAGTGGCCAGGCGGCGCTGGCCAGGCGGCTGGAGCCACACGTGCTGGGCAGGGCCGGGCAGACCCGGGCATGCTCCTCAGGGCCGCTGCCAAGCTGCCAGGCCAGCTGACAGGGGCGGCGCCTGCTCCCCTGCCCGCCCGGCCTGTTCTCCGGGCACCGCGCAGCCTGCCTGCTTTACATTCTGTTTCCGTGCTTACTTTCTGCCAAGGGACCGGAGCAGCTTAGCTTTTCGTCTTCATATTTTCCTCCACCATGAGCTCCCCCCGCAGGCCCTCCGCGCTCGCTCGCTCTCCGGCAGGGTCATAAATATGCAGCGAGCGGCGCCACTTCTATGAGGCGGGAGTCTGTTCTCTCCTCTCGCGGCTCTCTCTTCCTCTCCCTTCCCTTTTTTTTTTACTCCCTTTTCCCCTCACTTCTTCCCACTCCTCGCCGCTGCTTTTTCTCCTCGCATCATTCGTCTCCGTTTCGGCCCCATTCTTCTGCTCTTGTATTTCTCTTCTCCCTAATCTCATTCCCCTTTCTTACCCTCTTCCTGTTGTTTTTTTTTTTTTCCCCCCCCCCCCCCCCATTCCTCCTCTCTCTATTTTTCATTTTCTTCCCTACTCCTTTTTCTGTTCACCTCTTTTCTTTTCTCTCTCTGTCTCTCCCTCCTTCCTCTCAACTGTAATCTCCATCAATCCTTTCTGTTCAATGTCCCGGAGCAGCATGCTCCAGCTCCCTCCGTTTCCGGCTGAGCGGGTAGGAAGAAAGAGGCAGGCAGCATTCTCCCTCCGGGTTTCCGCCCCTCTCGCCCTGTGTCTACCTTCTCGTCCTTCTCAAGCTTGTAGACACATGTCTGAGCACCCGCATTTCTCCGTGAGAACCGTGTTCACGGTGTGGCTGCTGCGGGGCACCCCTTCCACCTTCCACCAACCCCTCATCGACGGAGCAGGCTCTAGGGTGGGGATGGAAACAGTGGCCGTGGGGCTGGCGGTGGGCATGGAGGGTGCCCTTGACCTAGGAAGGAGACTATGGCTGAACCTCCCGCGATGGGGTCACAGCCCGCAGGAGAGCTAGAGAGAGTTAGAAGCGACGTAATCATAGTTCACGTTCTGCCTTCACATACAGGAAGAGTTAGGTGGGCTGCCTCAGGTCACAAAGCTGTCAAGGGCAGACGAGAGGCCCTGGTCTGGGGGATATGGGACAGACCTGCTGTATTTGTCTCCTTTCCCAGGGGGCCCCAGCCCCTTTCCTCAGCTCTCTTCCATTTCCCCTCCTGCTCTGAAAGGCAGTATTGTGGTTTGGACGCACAGAATAGTGAACACAAACGGCCCTTAGAGATCATGGAGCCTCACGCCGTTATTTTACAGACACGGACCGAGAGGAGGGCTGAGAGGCGGCGGCCCCGCGGCAGACAGGGTGCAACCGGGGTCCTTCTCCCACCCGCTGCCCGATCTCCGGCCAGCTCTTGCTCAGCACCCTGAGGCCCGGCAGGAGTCCATGGGTTCATGTTCCTGGGGGAAGCGATGCATCGGGCTTGGAGGGATGGCTTTGTGCTGGGAACCTGATGACTGCTAAGCCTCCTCCTAAGCTGGGGATTCTCAGCAAAGCCATTGACCTCTGGGCTCAGGAGGCAGCTTCTGGTGCTTCTGGGTTCCGGGTCTCTGAGGGAAGCCCGCTGCTCTCGGAGGCCCCACACGTGGTGTCCGTGTGGACGGGCGCAGGGTAGGCAGCCCTTGGTAGCGAGAACAAAGGGGAGAGATCAACCAGAGGACTTGTGTGCACACATATGAGCCTAACCAGTGGTCAAGGACAACAGGGGGTGGGGAATAGGAATGGGGGGAGAGGACAAACGTGATACTTTAATCAATAAAGAAATTTTAAAAAGAGAGAGAGAGAGAATGATGCTGCTGGCACCTGTCAGCTTCCAGAGTGCCTTCCCCTACTTTACCTTCCTCGGTCCTGAAACAAACAACCCAGAGGGACTAGGTGTTATTCTCCCGTTTTACAGAAAAGGAGGCTGCCTCCCAGGGCGTTAGTTGCTTGCCCACCAGTGAGTGTTGGGAGCCGGAGTGGACGCCAGGCCTCCCGACTCCGGAGTTCCGTCCGCCACGGCCCTCTCTCTGCCTGGCTGACGGGCCCCTCTCCCCGCCTCCCTGTCCAGAGCCTGGCCAGCCGGCTCAAGGAGAACATGGAGAAGCTGACGGAGGAGCGGGACCAGCGCGCAGCAGCCGAGAACCGGGAGAAAGAGCAGAACAAGCGGCTGCAGCGGCAGCTCCGGGACACCAAGGAGGAGATGGGCGAGCTGGCGCGGAAGGAGGCCGAGGCGAGCCGCAAGAAGCACGAACTGGTGAGGCGCCCCACCCGCGGCCCCAAGCCGGCAGCTCCCGTGGGGTGGGGAGGGATCCAAAGAAACCGTCGTTTATTTTTATTTTTTTTATTTTTTAAAATATATTTTATTGATTTTTACAGAGAGGAAGGGAGAGAGACAGAGAGCTAGAAACATTGATGAGAGAGAAACATCGACCAGCTGCCTCCTGCACACCCCTCACCGGGGATGTGCCTGCAACCAATGTACATGCCCCTGACCGGAATCGAACCCGGGACCCCTCAGTCCGCAGACCGATGCTCTACCACTGAGCCAAACCGGTTTTGGCCAAAGAAACCGTGGTTTAGAGAATTGGAGGAGGAAAGAGGACAGTCCAGGACGACCCGAGGGCAGGCCAGAGGCCAAGGGTGGTCCTGGAGTCTCCATCGGGCGAGACTAGGTGCAACAGCCCAGCAATACCAAAGCCAAAACAAAACAAATAAAAAGCCCTGTAGACTTGCACCCATGTGGCTCCTGCTTGGCCGGGCGAGCCTGGAAGTAGGCTTTCTGTGGGGCCGCTGGACGAGAGACCAGCCCTCCTGAGGACGGGACTCCCCGCGTTCCCTCCCAGGAAATGGACCTGCAGAGCCTGGAGGCTGCTAACCAGAGCCTGCAGGCCGATCTAAAGCTGGCATTCAAGCGCATCGGGGACCTGCAGGCCGCCATTGAGGATGAGATGGAGAGCGACGAGAACGAGGACCTCATCAACAGGTGAGAGGGGCCCCTGGGGCAGCTGCAGGCGGCACGGAGGGAGGCCCTCCCGACCGCCTCTGGGCCAGGCCACCGGCCTCCCTCCCCTCACTGCCGGACCCCAGCACGGGCCTGCCCTGCAGCAGCCGAGGGCAGAACGGGTGCTGCCTGGGTGAGACTCCTCCCCTCATCCTCGCAGTGCTCCCTCCCCAGGCCCCCCGGACCTGGCTGTCCGGCGCGGCCTGTTTGGGATGAGTTATTTCCCCGTTTAGCTGCATTTCCGATGGCGCCTGCCCGGCTCTGGGGAGCGCGGAGATTTAAGGGCCGCGGTGCCTTGTTACCGTGCCAGAGGTTTTCTCTCATAAAACCCACCCGAGGAACGGTTTAGAGAGACAGAGAGATTTGTGGTCTCAGGCCGGGGAGGAAGTCATGAGGCAGGCGGACCGGCAGTCCAGGGTGTGGCGTGGTCAGGCCCTGGGGAGGCTCCGGAGGCTGCCCGGGCAGAGTCCCCAACGCTGCCCCCTCCCTGCCCGAGGGCCCGGGCCGCATCCTGCCGGCCGGCCGGCCGCGGGGGGCCTGCTCCTCTGTGTCAGGGGGAAGGTGCCCAGACCGCCCGCCGAGGGCAGCTCTGTCACTCCTCCTGCCCTCAGGGCTCGGCCAGCCAAGGCCGCCTCTTGCTGAGGAAAGAGGGGGTCCTCGGCTGAGGGGACCACCTTGGTTTGTCTGCTGATTTTTTTTTTTTTTTGATTTTTTTTTGGTCTTCTTCTGGTCCCCTGCCCACCACCTTCTTTCTGTTTCCAGTTTGCAGGACATGGTGACAAAATATCAGAAAAGAAAAAATAAACCGTGAGGACTGGAGCGCATGCGCTCTCTGCCTCTCCCGGCGTGGTGTCTAACCGCCCTAACACGGGCCCCCCATTGGCCTGCTGCATGACGCATGGGGACACACAGCCTCTCGCCTCTCCTCTGAGCTAGGCTCTCACGCTAACACTGCTGACTCTGACCTGGGGGGGAGGGCAGGGCGGCAGGCTGGGGTGGCAATGAGGTGCGCTCCCCCAGGAAGGCTCGCCCGCTCGCCCGCCCGCCCTGGCGGGCAGGATGGGGGCTCCATCAGCGAGGAGAGCTCAGCCTCGGGAGGTGGTACCCACAGTTCCGCCTTCCTGAGCTCCAGCCCTCTCCCCTCTCGGAAACCAAGCCGATCTCTCTGGGAGAAAGTCTGTTTGGGATGGACTTGTCCACATCCTCGGGCTCCTGTGGAGCCTGGGCCGCCTGAGAGGAGCGGGTGTGTTTCGTTTTGAAAGGTCTGGCACCTCCGTTGGCAGACAAGGGCAGGAGGTGAGGGGTGTCTGGCAGCCGCTTGTTTGGAGAAAGCATTCAGGCAGCTAATCACGGCCACTCTGCTGTGCTGGGGAGGGAGCGTGGCCAGATGTGTTTGCTTTAGTCCCTGCGGGCTCACGGGGCAGAGGGAGGCCCTGAGCCTTGGGGCTGGTGGCAGGAAGCCCAGCAAGTCCACCCGCTCGTCCTTCCCTTCGCTCCGGGCGGGAGCCGCACGGCAGGTGCAGATGCGCAGGCCTCTGGGCGGGCCCGGGGGACCCTCCGCCGAGTTGAGCCGGGCTGTTATGGAGGAGACGGTTCTTTGAGCGAGGCGTTGGGTCTGCTCCCCCACTCCCTCTCGCCTGGCAGGCCTCCTGCCCCAGCCAGGGCGGGCTGGCGGCAGCGCAGAGGGCTCCGTGAGCTAATGATAAATGTAATAGTGTGTAACAGTGATAGAGGGCCGCTGGAGCCCGGTTGTCACACACAATTAATATCCCCCGCCGTTCTGTCTCCGTTTGTTTGTTCCCCCGCGATTCGGCTCCCAGTTAACTAATAGCACATGAGCCCGGACATAAATTGTATTTGACACGAGGTTTAATTCCAACCATTTAAAATTTCAGCTGCCCCCTGAGCCTGCCTGCCCCCGGAGTTTGTTTACGGGCTTGATTATTTAAGGAAAAGAGCCCAAACATCATCTATATGCTGGAAACTACAGGGAAGGCGAGGGCGGGCAGGCAGGCCAGCGTCTCCACCGTCGCGTCCTCCGAATGCGAGGAGGAACATTCATATTCTGGGCCCATGGCGTCTGGCCCCTGTGGGTAGCAGCCCCGCCATCCTTGGGCTGTAGGAGCTTCAAGGACTGATAAAATGAGCATTTAAGATCATATTCTAAATCATGGCCAGGCACAGCACAACACATGGGTGCTTACACACACACACACACACCTGCTTACACACACACACACACCCACACACACACACACACCCCAGCGGGCACTCACGCAGGCACACAAGGGCACGCAGTCCGGGCTGGGTTCCCGCTGATGGCCGCAAGGTGATGTGGCTCCTTCCTCCAGCAGCTCTGGGCCTCAGCTCCACGGTATCGAGCGAGCGTGCTAAGGCGGGCAGAAAAATAATGTTTCGATTTACTTAGAGATACAGTTGTTATTGCCATAACCTTAATGAAAGCAGTAAACAGCGCGGTATTAAGGGAGATTTATACAGAAACGCTTTTAACATGTAGACATAGATTTTGCGATGCATACAGCACCTCCTTTCTAAAGGCAATCAATATGGTTATGAACGGCGGTGATAAATTACCGGCTGCGAGGCCGGAGGAGGAGGCTTTCCGCGCGGGCGTATAAATCAGGCGGTATTGGCATTCCGTGGGGCCCCTGCACCAACAGTAAATCTGCTGGGCTCGGACGGGCACGGGGCTTGCATTAGCGGTTTCGGGGCTGTCTGCTAAACTCCTGTTTACCCGGGGCATCTGCCAGCCTCGTCTTTGTTATAATTCTGTATTTGACGGGAGCCCATAAAATAGGCCTTTTTATTTCCCTCCCCACGGGTCATGCTGTCTCACAGTCCCCAGAATAGAATCTGGTGGTTTCGTGTGTGTGTGTGTGTGTGTGTGTGTGTGAGAGAGAGAGAGAGAGAGAGAGAGAGAGAGAGAGTGTATACGTGTATGTGTACACGCATGCATGCACACGCACACATGCCTGCCTGTGTGGCTATTTATTCAGGAACATAATTCAGGAACAGGGCTGCTCCTGTTGACACAGATGAAAGGAAATTTATATCAAGGAGAAATCCTGGCATATCCCTAGCAGGGGAACGTGACAGGCAGGCATTTCGCAGAATCCTAGAAGCGTTCCCACTCAGAGGCGGTCTCTAAGCCCCTGCTGCTCTGTGAGGGGTCACCGTGACTCCAGCCTCAGAATTCGACTCGTCTGGGCTTTCCTGCAAACAGAGAGGGCCCCGGCCAGCTTGGCCAGCAGAAGCGCTGAGGGGCACGCGCTAGAGGCTGTTTGAGGGGCGGGAGAGGAGATGTGGGGAGACAGGGCCCTGGCCTGGGACTTTCTGGGCCCACCTGGACCACCAGGGTGCAACTTAAATCCTGGAGTTGCCGCCAGCTCCTTGGGAAATGCTGCTGTCCCCTCTTTTTCCTTTGTTTCCTAAGGCAGTCTCGGATGAGTCTGGGATATGGCCTCGAGGGCCCCATGTAGCATTGCCATCAGCTCAGGAGACCCCAGGTTCAAGGCAGCTTACAGTCACAAAGAATCCCTTCTCTTTCCTGCCTCATGGCCAGCAGCCCAGCTCTTGCAATGAAGGCGTGGAACATTACAGCAGCCTACGCCGCATTTTGGGGAGTGGGCAGATAAGAAATAGCAGCATAGGCCTCCAGGAGTAACTGACGGGCCCAGGACTCCTCTTCACAACCAAGAGCAGCCCTTCCGGTGTGACTGACGGATGGATGGTCTCTTTCCTGGGCTGGTTTGCTGAGCCGTCACACGGAGGGGAACGGAGGTGCCCCCGAGCTCTGAGGGTCGTGGTGGCCGCCGCGAGGGGCCAGGGTTCTGATGATCGGCGCGCTCTGGCTAACCTCTCTGTTCTCTCTGACTCACCGATGCGCATGCCAGCCTGCATCCCACCGCCCCCCCACCCCCCCAAGACACACCCGCTGCCCCCCCAGCCTCACCTACCCCTCTGCTGCTCCTCCCATAGCGAGGGCGACTCGGATGTGGACTCGGAGCTGGAGGACCGGGTCGACGGGGTCAAGTCGTGGTTGTCGAAAAACAAGGGGCCCTCCTCCAAGGCAACTTCCGAGGACGGCAGCTTGAAGAGCTCCAGGTGAGCAAGGGGCCCCGGGCGGGGAGGAAACGCCAGCCGTGCCCCGGGCCGGGTGAGCAGCATGCCTTCGTCCGCCCCCGAGAGGCTGGCCTCACGCCTCCCCAGCGTGGCATGAGGGCGAGGGGCCTCGGCGGCCCCCGCGGCTGGAATGAGCACAGGAGGCTGGGCGTCTTCGTAGTCAGGGTCTGTGGTGCCCTTATTACTCCCAGGCAGTCCTTTCCTACCCGGGCTTTGTTTTGGTGTAGGTTAAGGCGACCAGACGTCCCGCTTTTGGCGGGACAATCCCTATTTTTAACGATTTGTCCCGCGATGTAACAAATTGTTAAAAATTGTTAGTGTAGGTTTAACTTCATCCCCACTTACTCTTCCAACAAATGTGGACGGAACTGCCCGATAGTCTGGGGGCCGGCAGAGGGCTTAACAGGAGCAGCTGCAGCAAAGACACCGGTCCTGCCTCCCCTGCCATAGCTACACAGGGCCCTCTTTCTCTGTGCATTCTCTCCTTCCTCTGGCCTTTTTACTGCCCCCACCCCCACCCCATGCTTCTGTTCACGCCCATGGTGGGGGGCAGGAGGCTTGCTCCCCTATTTTCTAGCCCATTCACAGTCTCCTGGTCAGACAACTACTTCTGGTGTCCAGGGGGTCTGCCTTCCCCGTCCCTCACCTGCCAGCCAGCATGGCAGCAGGGAGAGCCGCCCTCTGCTCCCGCCCTCCCTGTGCCCACTTCCCCCCTCCTCCCCAACTCAGAGCCGGCTCATCCCACCTGCTTCCGAGACAGCAGGTGGGCTGGGCAGAGAAAGGAATCCCTCTTCTCCTCCGGCTCTCTCCGGAGGCCCCTTCCCAAGCCCGGCCCCTGGCCACCAGCGCCCCGCGGCCCCCTCTAATTGATTTAATTGATGAGGCCGAGCAGCATTTTGTTATTGCAGATAACACCGCCTTCCCCGCCCCGCTGCCATTCACCTCGGCGTGGCACGAGGCTCCAGGTAGTTGACAATGAAATAAATTGAACTAAACGTTTTAGAGGGGGAAAAGTGATGAAATAGAACAATAGTCTAATTTACATGACATTCTCCATGAAGCTATTTTCACTGACGCAAATTATTTTGCTTCATTTCCTCCCGACGCTCCCGCCGCCACTTTGCCAGGGCTGCTGCCGGTTTCTCTCCTCCTCCTCCTCCCTCCTCCCTCCCCTCGTGTCTGCATTCGCTGGGTTTAATGCCTCTCTCTCTCTCTCTCTCTCTCTCTCTCTCTCTCTCTCTCTCTCTCTCTCTCTCTCTCTCTCATTCTCCCCTTGTGCCCCTAATCCACTATGGGTTCTCTCTTCCCTGGCCGCACCTCCTCCCTCAGAACGGCCCTCTGCGCCCCCGGGAAGGAGGGGAAGGAGGGCAAGGGGGCGGAGGAGCGGCCGGCCTCGGCCCTGAGCTCCCTGAGCTACCGGAAGAGGCTCGCCCTGAAGGACTCCATCGGGGGCACGGGGGACGCGGAGTCCCTCTTCAGCACCCTGAGCGAGCGGCCCGCCTCCCCCGAGCGGCCCCCGCGGAAGGCCCGCCCGGGCCCCCGGGGGCAGCCGGAGGCGCGCGGCTCCGTCTTCTCCGAGGTCGGGGGCCGTGCCAGCCGGGGGCTGGAGAAGCGGTGGGGCTCCGACTTCGACGGGGCCTCCACCGTCTCCGCGCCCGTCAGCCGGGCCTCCTCGGCCACGCGGGGCGGCGCGGGCGAGGACGGCGCCCGCTCCTCCGTGAGCGTCTCCCTGTCGGGCTCGCCCAGCTCCCGCCGCAGCGCCTCCCGGCTGGACGGCCTGCCCGGGGCCTTCAGCCCTTCCTGGAGCCGGGCCTCGGGCCTCGGCCGGGACAGCCCCGACTCCCGCCTGTCCCTGGGCCGGGGCTGCCTGGAGGAGTGGGACGACGGGGCCAGCGTGGCCCTGAGCGAGGCGCCCTCCCAGTACGGCCCGCCGTCGCTGGCCCGCAGCCTGTCGGTGCCGCCGCCACGCGCCTCCTCCACCGCCGCCGCGGAGGAGCCTCTGGGCTCCGGCATCCGCTCCGCCAGCCGGCACTCCTACCTGGACCCGGACCTGGAGGCCGCCATCAACGAGGTGCTGAGCTACAAGCCCGTCCCGTTCCAGCGGACCAGCCTGGAGCCCGACTCGGAGGAGGACCGCAAGAGCATCCGGAGCGCCCGGAGCGCCCAGCTGGGGTCCCCCGAGCCGGCCGCCAGCATCCGCCGCTCCGCCTCCGCGGCCGATGTCTCCCGGTCCCGGTCCCGCAGCCGCCGCAAGAGCCGGAGCAAGAGAAGGAGCCGCTCCAGCTCCAGCGCCAGCTCCAGCTCCAGCTCCGAGGACTCCTCGGAGCACAGGCGGCGGCGGAAGAAGGGGCGCTCGAGAAAGAGCAAGAAGAAGTCCAAGTCGAGGAGAAAGAGAGCGGAGGAGTCCGAGTCGGAGTCCTCATCGTCCAGTGGCTCCACGGTCTCGGGCCACAGCCGCTCCAGCGTGAAGAAGGGGCCCGCCGCGGACAGCGAGGAGGCGGGGCAGGCGCCCCCGCCGTCTCGGAAGGAGGAGAAGAAGCGTAAGAAGGAGGTGGACAGCCTGATGATGCGGTACCTGTACCGGCCCGAGAGCGACTAGAGCAGTAGGTGGCACCTGGCGTGGAGTGCAGCATGGCGTGTGCCCCTCGGTGTGAACTAACGTGCTCCCGCCGCCACCCAGGCCCCCCTGCGTTCCCCGCCGGCAGGCCTGGCCTTGGAGGGCCTCCCGGCCGCCCGGAGAGCAGAGGCCCGCTCAGCTGGTTACTCATTGGGAGCCCTGAGCCCATCGGCGGATCGTGCAGACGATGCCAATCACAGCTCCCGCTTACCGTGTCCTTCCTTCCCTGGTCAGGCACCCTCCCAGGCACCTTGCACGTTTTATTCACTTAATCCTCCCACTAACCCCATAGTAAAGGTCTGATTAGCCCTATGTTATAGACGAGGAAGCCGGGGCTCAGGGAAGTTCAGTCGCTTGCCAAGGTCACGCAGCCAGGAGGTGATAGTGCCAGGATCTGAATGGAGGCTATTCAACGTGTCTTTTAACAGCCCAAGGCAGGGCACATGGGCCATGTGTTTACTGGGCAGCACGCCTCTCGTCTGTGGCCCCCACAGGCTAGGCCCACCCTGGCTGACCCCTGGTCTGGATGGGTGCATTCGTGGCCACCAGCTCTCATGGGGCCTTTTGCTCAGCTATCCCCTGCCCTGCAATGCCACCTTCCTCCCTGGCATTGAGATCCTGGATCTCAAGCCGAGGAGTGCAAGGCGCACTCCCACCCCCATGGTTCTGCACCCTGCGGCAGACCCGGAGATGCCTGGCTCTCCCCCCACCCGAAGCCCACGCATGGGCGTCACCTCATCTCCGCTCTCCTTGTGTGAAGTTTTAATGAGTAAAAATTAGCAGCTGCTGAGTGACAGCCCCTTCCCGGCTTTCCCGCCTCCCCTGTCCTCTCCCTGTGGGGAGGGAGAGCCGGCAGTCAGGCCCTCTCTGCCCACACACACCCCCCCCCTCGGAAGGAAGGCAGAGGCTGACTCATTGGAATCCCATTGTTGCCCCTTCGTTCCCCTGGCGGGTGGTGACATTCGGATCACCCTGCCTGCGTGAAGCCGGTTCCGGCATGGCTCCCTCCCAGGGCGAGCTTGCTGCTTCCCGGGAGGCCTGGCCCCAGAGCGCGGCCCCCTGAGGCCCGGCGTTTGTTTCCTGGGTGCACGGACTAACACACACCGGCGCATGCGTGTGGGCTCATGCAGGGGAGCAGCTGACGAGCACGCTGACTTTGTCCCTTGTATGTCGGAGGGACCAAGCTTGGTTTTAAGGAACGGAGCAAGTGGAAGTGAATGGAGATGGGCGATGGGATGGGATTGGGAGGGATGGGATGGGAAAGATGGAACTTGAACCCAACCAGGCTCGTAGCCAACTCAGATTCCTTGGGCCCTGGACTGCTCTGAAACCAAGCCGTTGGGCTCAGCACTGCTGTCGCGTCCCCCAGTGGCAGGCGGTTGTAGGTGCTCTGAGTGTCTCGGTTGCAGGGAGGAGCCATGACAGCTCCATATCCAGGAAGGACAGGAGTCCTAATAGGCCTGCCCCCTCAGCCGCCCTGTGGGGAGAGAGGTGAGGAAAGCAGCGAAGGCCAGGCCCCTCTGAGCACTGCCCCTGAAGAGGGAGGCCGTCCCACACTGGCCAACAGCGTGGATTTCAGACTCTGGTGGGTGCTCTCAGCCCATCGTCGCCCTCGACTCCACAGCCAAAACACCCGACTCCCCAGAACAAAAGCACAGAAAACCTGCTCCTTCCCCCCAGCCGCCAGCGCGGCTCCTCGTGTCCGTCGGGAACACAGGAGTCGTTCTGAAACCCTACCCGCCACCACCTCTACGGAGGACTGTGTTCGCTGCAGGAGAGCGGGCACCGAGCCACCAGCCCGCCAACCAATACAGAGCCGCGAGGCCAGGGCCAGGCGAGGGAGGACCTGGTCGGACTCGGCATGTCCTGGCTTTGGGTGGATAAACTGCCAAGAGTGGGAGCGGGGCAGGGTGGGGGCTTAGCTTCCATCTGGCGGTGACGGGGACCAGCGAGGATTCAGAACACGAATGCATCCAAAGGCGAGGGGAGGAGGCTGCCGCCCGGGCTCGCCCAGCAGGAATTAGCTTATGTACCAAATTGTTTGTGACAGCGTTGAGCAGGAGACAGTGGCTTGTGAGGAGGAAAGCTTTTTAAACAATTTGGTTAAAATGTTCAAATTGCCAGCCCTGACTCTTGCCCCGGGGAGGGGGCTGGCTGCCTGCTGTAGGCTCTCTGGCAGCTGTGGCCCCACAAGCCACGGAGGAGACTGGCTAAAGGGCACCCAGGGTAGGAGCCAGGGGGTCTTGTGGCCCCACAGAGCAGGGATGAGAGGCGTGGAGTTTACACACACACACACACACACACACACACACACACACAAACACACACACCAGCAATCGGGTGGAACAGTGTTGAAACCTGGCTGTCATTTTGCCAGGGTCTGCCTGGCCCGCACGGCAGTGTGGGGGTGGGGGCTGCAGCACCCTCTGAGAAGAGGTGAGAGTGGGAAGGAGCACCCCAGGCTCTCCAGCAGCACCCAGTGAGCATCCGGATGTCAGCCCCCACCTCTGCCCACAAATAACCCCACTGCCTTTTCACAAAGCCGGTCCTTCCTTTGCCTAGCAGCAGACCTTAGCATTGGATGCCCAGAAATTGTGTCTTTAAAAAAAAATGAAAATAAAACCCACTAATTTAGAATTCAAGCAACCCAAACACTAAAATAACCCCAGGGGGTTATTTTTATTTTTTTTTCTACGTTGCGTAGTCATCATTGGCCTTTATCATTTTGTCCCTGAGACACCCCAGAGTCCTTAAGTGCCTGTGGCCCATCACCGTAAGACTCATTTGTGTGCAGGCTAGTTTGTATTAAATGTGTTTTGTGCTATTGTGATTCCGTTAAAAATGGTAATTCATTCATGAGAAATACGATAACTATTAAGCGGACTGCCCCATTCCTGAGCCACTTTGCATAATTGAACATGTATTTTATCAGGCTGTTCCTTCTCCCCAGGGAGGGATAGAGAGAGAGAGAGAGAGAGAGAGAGAGAGAGAGAGAGAGAGAGAGAGAGCGCGAGCCCTGGCTTTACACAACCCCCGGGCTCTCACCCCCCCAGCGGGAGAAGTCGGTTTGGTCTTGTTTTCTCCGTGGGTCACCCGATCTAGTGGCAAGGCTTTGAGGTCGTCCTCAGCGTCCCAGGCTGAGATTCACACACTGGCTGTGTGACCTTGGGCTAGAGGCTCCATGTCTTTGAACCAGCTTCCTCGTGGCTTTGCAGGGGTTGTTGTGACGATAGCATAGCATATCCAGAGCGCCCAGGAGAGCGTCTCACTCACAGGAAGTCCTCCGTGGCCAAATCCGTTCTTCGCCACCGAATGCAGTTCATCCATGCAGAGCTGCTGCTTGCTCCTTTGGTTTGGGGGTAGAGCTTTGCAAGGACTGGTAAACCAGGCCCCTCCTCAGATTCTGAGAGTCTTAGGCAGCGAGATCACAAGTCCGGTTCAGCCCAGTGGCAGCTCTCCAGGACCTGGAGGCAGGGCAGGGACCCGCTGGGTGCAGGGCACTGGTAGGGGTGAAGCCATGCTGAGCTGCATTTTCTCCAAGAAGGTTGAAATTATAGTGCCCTTGCACTGGCAGAGGCAGTGGAGGTGGGGGGTGGGGTAGGGGAAGGCTTTGGGAAAGAAAGAAAAGGATACTGGACCTGGAAGATGGGGTTCCATCCTTGCTGGGTGCCCTGAGCCTGCTCCATCCAGGGTGATGCTGTCCACATCTTGGTGGGGGCGGATATAGGGGGAGGCTCTCAGTGGCCCGATGAAAGCTCTCTGGGGTTGGGTTATGGTACCAAGAGAGGGACATCTGTGCCACCCTGAGACAGAGGTCTTGCCAGCTTCTACATCCTGAGTCTCCATTCCTTATGGTATAATAGGTCGATGATGCCATGGTCAAGGGCAGACATCCTCACAGGCCTCAGGAAAACCTGATAGCAGAAAGGGCTCGGATCTGGGTGTGTTCAGTGGGTAAAGGCCCTCCTTCTTGGAATCTTTTCAGGGTTAACTCTACCTGAGACAAGCTGTAGTCATGTGATCGCCAGACCTTTAGCCTCCACATCCGTGTGGTCCATGGACTGCCAGCACCAGAGTCTTCTGGAAAGGGAGTTGGAAATGCAGAATTCCTAGGTCCCACCCAAGAGCTAGCAAATCAGAATTTCTCAGGGGAAGGGCCCAGGAATCAGCAGCTGGTTCTTAGGCATCAAGTCTGAGTGAGACCCACTGCTCTACGGCAACGGTCTCCTTGGAGTTTTCCAAGTTTTAAGAGTCAAGACCATGTGCTCCTTTCTCTTGCTACTCTTGAAGACCTGGGGAAGCCAGGGAATCCATGTGTGGCTTTCGGGGAGGGCTGTGACAGCTTTGGGGTGGGGTTGGGGGGTTCTCCCCAGGACTAAAGGCTGTGGTGCTGGAGATTAGGAATATCATTCCTCTGTGACCTCATTCCTCTCTCCCTGCAGCCCCACCAGCTACTGGAAGTCCCTTCCCCCTGACCGGTCAGATGAAGAGCACGACCCTGTTGACAGCACCTCCAGGCCCCGACACTCCCACAGCTACCCGAGTGACAGCGACACAGAGGCCAAGCCAGCGGAGACCGACGCGTAGCCCCCCACCCCGTGGGCTGCTGCCGCCACGGCGCCTCTCCCAGGAAGAGCGGGGCGCAGGTCTCCCCACCCGACTGCTGATCTGCAGGAGACGCACCTGACCCTCTGGGGTCAGGCTGTGGGGTCTGATGTCTCCACATGGAAGAGGTGGGGGAAGAGGAGTTTCTGATAAGAGAACTTTTTGCTCCTTCCGCCTCCAACATGCCACCCTCTTGGCTTCGACCTTGGGCCACGGTGGGCAGTGGCAGGTGGCTTAGCACTGCACGGAGCCAGCAAGTCGACCTCCATCTCAGCCCTCTCTGCTCAGGGACGGTGGACAGCTCGCCTACGGGGACAATTCTCGGTTGCTGGGTCCGTGGGGCGGAGTTGGGGGCTGGAACAGCGATTCCTTCCCCCTGGCTTGGGGCGAGGGCTTTCCCTTCTCAGTGCCTGCTGTCTTTTTACTTTTTAATTTAAATACCCAACCTCTCCATCACAGCTGCATCCCCGAGCGCGACAGCTGGGGCCCCGGGAAGACTGGGGGAATCCCGTCTCCGTGTTCAGTTCGGAGAGCAGCCCTTTCTCTGCGCAGCTGGAGAGACGGCTGAGCAGAGCCTCCAGGTGCTTTGGGTTTGGACTGGGCAAACCCACATAGACAGGGGTGCATTTGTACCATCTGGGACATCCAGCCCCTCCTCCCCGTGAGCTCGTCAGTGTGTTAAGTGCAATGATGACCTATTTAAAAGAAAACCCATTCCGCCTACGCCAGTTTGGGGCCTAACCAAGCACCGTCTCCCTCCCGCTCTGTCCAAGCTGCCTGGGCCAGAAGCTCAACCTGAGAGGGAAGGCCTTTGGGTCGAGGACTTGTGATCAGAAAAACTAAAGCTGCAAGTGTTGGTCAGTCCTGATACGTATTAGACACGGGTCCTCACCCTGTGTCCTGAGCCTACGTCATTTTTCTCCCAATCACCCTGTCCCCCCACCTCACCCCGAAACACACACACACTTCTCCTAGACTTGACAACATGCGGCCTGACAGTCCTAGCCCCGGCCCGAAAGGTCATCCCTCCGACATCACCAAACTCGGGGGCCCAAGGGCAGCGCCCGGCGCCGCTGCCATCTGCTATCCCCTCTCCTCTCCTGCAATTGGTTTGTATTCATTTGGGCTGTGCTCTCTCTCTTCCCTGATTACCTGATGTATGGAAATAAACGTCCTTTTCCTCCTGGCTCTGCCCGTTTTTCTGCCTGTTCCATGGGGTAGCGGAGTCGGGATTCTGGTGGGGACCTGGGGGCGTCTCCCACCTCAGACCATTCAGACCAGGGCCGCTCGGAGAGCTTGGCAGGTCCTTTGGGGCAGGCAGGGCAGAGAGGATCGGTCCACGGAGATGCAAGCCCACCTGTCATTTGAAGAGCCTGTGCGTTGTGATTGAGGTTGGCACAGCTCCTAGGCCGCCTCCTCCTCTGGCCTCTGCTTGGACATGCTGAGGTCCCTCTGTTAAGCCTCACCAAGTGCAGAGATCCTGCCTGCTCTAACGCTTTGTTGTTGTTAAGGAATACAAACCCTTTGTATTAGAATTTTTAAAATTTCATGTCGGTCATTCCAAAGAAGACTTTTTGCTCAAAACTTGGCAGAACTCTGTCCAGCCCCGTGGACCACAGGGCAGTCTGAGCAGGCTGGGGCTTCCAGTGTCTCTGCCTTCTGCCCTGGTTGACATGTGGTCTCCTCACTGAAGCCAAGAAGCAGTTCCTGCAGAAGGACTAGAAGAAAATGGATTACTCCTCCTCCTCTACTTTCTGTAATGTGACCACTTATGAGCCTCCTCCTTTTATACCTTCTGAAATGCGACCAGTTATAATCCTCCTCCTCCTCCTCTACCTTCTGTAATGTGACCGGTTATAATCCCTGCACCCATGACAGGTTTGTACAGCTGGTTGATCTGGCTCCCCTGGTCTGGACAGGTAAGCAGGAAAGAGTATCAGACAGCTCTCTCTAATGCTGAGGTTCCAGTGACATGAGCTACCTAGAAAGGGTCAAGAAAGAGAAGGGGGGAGAAAAGTCTCCCCCAAAACCAGTGGGAGAGAACTGTAAAATGGATCCCTCTCAAACTTGAGACTGCCTCTCTGCACTTCCCCCCAGGGTTGAACAGAGAAGGTAGTAAAAGTTATTTTTTATATGCTTTTTTCTTAAACGACTGGTTCCTCATGTTCAGTTCCATCACATCTCTTACTCCTGTTTGCATAGACCTTGGTACATTTTTTGTTCTCAGGAACTAGTATGACAAAGACCCTGCCACCTACAGACAAGATCCCAATTCTGTTCTCACTCATGGACCCAGTCTCTGGTTAACTGGGAAGTCCAGCATCAATCTTCAATAGCCTGGCCTGGGACAGAGGGCTTCATTTGAGTCAGAAAACTTACATTATTCATTTATTTTATTTTTTTTTAATATATTTTATTGATTTTTACAGAGAGGAAGGGAGAGAGAGAGAAACATCGATGAGAGAGAGTCATCGATCAGCTGCCTCTTGCACACCCCCTACTGGGGATATGCCCGCAACCAAGGTACATGCCCGTGACCGGAATCGAACCCGGGACCTTTCAGTAACCAAGCCGACGCTCTATCCATTGAGCCAAACCAGTTTCAGGACATTATTCATTTATTAATTGACTCTAACAGTCAATTATATTATCCATCCACTCAACAAATATTTCATAACTGCTTGCTGTAGTCTAGGTCAGTGGTTGGCAAACTCATTAGAGCCAAATATCAACAGTACAACGATCGAAATTTCTTTTGGGAGCCAAATGTTTTAAACTTAAACTTCTTCTAACACCACTTCTTCAACATAGACTCGCCCAGGCCATGGTATTTTGTGGAAGAGCCACACTCAAGGGGCCAAAGAGCCGCATGTGGCACGAGAGCCGCTGTTTGCCAACCATGGGTCTAGGCACTATTGTAAGTGCTGGCGATGGATGATACTCTTTCTGAAAGCAGATATTCTAACTGAGAAGTTAGACCCAAAATACTAGTATGTACTGCACTTGCCAATATGTGCAAGCTCTGGGTGAATAGAGAGGAGCAAGTCATGGTGTTTGTCCTCTAGGGGCTCATGAATTAGGGCTAGATGTAATAGGACAAAGAGTTGCTTTGAGCATATTATGAGCAGAGACACTCACTGAGGAGGTGGAAGCATTAGGAAGGTTTCTAAAAGGAGGTGGTAGCTCTAACTGGTTTGGCTCAGTGGGTAGAGCATTGGCCTGCGGACTAAAGGGTCCCAGGTTCGATTCCAGTCAAGGGCATGTACGCTGGTTGTGGGCACATCCCCAGTGGGGAGTGTGCAGAGGCAGCTGATCGATGTTTCTCTCTCATCGATGTTTCTGACTCTCTATCCCACTCCCTTCCTCTCTATAAAAAATCAATAAAATGTATTTTAAAAAATAAAAGGAGGTGGTATTTGCCCAGCTAGCATGGCTCAGAGGTTGAACATCTACCTATGAACCTGGAGGTCACCATTCCATTCCCGTCAGGGCACATGCCCGGGTTGCCGACTCAATCCCCAGTGCGGGGTGTGCAGGGGGAAGGTGATCAATGATTCTTTCTCACCATCGGTGTTTCTATCTCCCTCTCCCTTCCTCTCTGAAATCGGTAAAAATATATTTTAAAAAGCAAAAGGAGCTGGTATTTGAGCTGGGGTGGGAAGCAAGAATAGCATCTCCACAGGTAGATATTTATTGCTGGGACAAGTATGCGCAGAAGAAAGAACTCGAGCAAAGACTGAGGCAAGGATAGAGACGTGGGGGGAAACACATGACCAGTGCTTCTCCGAGCTCTAGCAAAGCTTCTTGGCCAGGGTGCTGGGCTCCGGGCTGGGACGGAGGCGATCCCCTGAGCACCAGTTCCCTGGGGGAGCCCAGGGGCCTGCAGGAGCATCAAGGCCCTGCTGCATTGTGGGTGCGCCTTCAGCACCCCGCAAGCTCCTGCCCTCACCTGCTCCTCGAAGTAACTCTGGTCCCTAAGTTGTGATTCCCACAAACTGATCACAAATCTGTCCCTGGGCCAAGTTCAAAGCCATCTCAATAGATCCTCCCCTCTAATCTCAGCCCCTCAGGATCGCTCTGACTCTTGGACAAGAGGCCTTGGGCGAGGACCAAAGCTCGGTGAGGCCCCCCACGCTGCATGGAGACAACAGCAGCATGAAGTGACCCTCCCCCTCCCCCACCGACTACCCCCTTCTGTCCTGTGTCCTCTTGGCAAATGATACCAGTTGTCCTTCCCCCCATGCCCCGCCCCTATGCCTGGTGGCACAGACACTTAGCGATTTGCTCCTTAATTGTCCCCCAGCTAGGCTGCGCAGATGCTGCTCTTTAATCTCTCCTGATAAATGAATCACGCCGCTCCTTTAATCATATGTTCATATCCAAGCCAATTTGAATCAATTTGGCAGGGAGTGTGTTGCAAGAGATGCCACGACTACTGCTTCTCCCCCCAGGGCTCTGGAGCCGGCGTGTCCTCACCCTCCCCAGAGACCCCAGGAGGGCGACCCAGGAAAAGGGTATCCTATCTGAACGGTGGGGACTTGGCAAAGTCAATGGTCCCTCCTGTCCTCCACTCAGGCCCGAGCCAGCGGGACTGGAGGCTGGATGGACTCGCAGTGGCCTCAGAAGTGGGGGGAAGTTGGGTGAATCCACATCCTTCCCTGGTCACTGACTAAAAGGCCCCATTATCACCCCCGGGAGAAAGTGCTGCCTTAAATCTAACCCTAGTCCTTCCCGCTCCCCTTTTATTTCCTCCGAGCGGGCTCCCGGGAAGCTGGGACACTTTGTCACCTTTACAGGGCAACACACGCCAGGCCAGTCTACGATCATTTGTCCCTGCTTGTTATTGCTCCTGGCTGCCACCCCAGCTCCTCTCGTCTTTCCCCAGGAAGTGTTCTTTCCTAAGTCCTGGGCTCGCTTGGTAAGGTTCCAGGTTCTGCCGCCTTTGGGATTGTTGCTTTTTCACCTACAGAGTGG